ATATTCCATTGTATATATGTACCACAGCTTCTTTAGCCAATCATCTATCATAGGACACTTTGGTTGCTTCCATGTCCTGGTCACTGTGAATAATGCTGCTATGAACATCAGTGTGCAAATATCATTTTGGATATAGGTTTTCAAGTCTTTGAGGTAAATACCCAGTAGAGGGATTGCTGGATCATATAGTAGATCAATCCTTAGTTTTTTGAGGAACTTCCATACTGTTTTCCATAGTGACTGTACCAATTTGCAGTCTTACCGGCAGTGTATGAGAGTTCCTTTTGTTACTAAATTTTAAACATCAGTTTTCCTAAATTCAACCCAAGTAGTGTCACTATCCATTAATCTTTGAGAAAAGGTGCATGAAGGCAGGAAACATATGTTTGCCAGGGTATATTCAGTACCTGGCATATAGTAAGCACTCAATAAGAATTTGTTTTATTAGTTAACTGGAAATATGTACTTAGGAGAACAAATTAAAGATAACAGTTTTATTCAACAAGCACTTCTGAATACTTGGTATAAACAGAGCATTGTCTTGGGTATTACAGAGTACTAAAAGTAGGAGACACTGTCTTATCGAGGGGTAGACATACAGTATAATTTGCATTTATAAGCCTTTAAAATAAAATATAAACACTTTAAAATTCACATTAGAAAAATTTTTTAAAATTATTTGTTACTACTGAATTCTGGATATGCACTAAGTATGAGAAAAAGAAGCAAATACGTAATACATGAATTATTTTTATAAGCTCTTATGGGCCAGGAGAAAATTAAAGTATAAATTTCATATCCTTTCTGGAATTAACTTTTAATTACAGAAATGAAATTAAGTTCACAATGCATAAAGTCATATTTTTGGTAACATATTCAATGACATGGATGGTGAGACTCTCTTCAGGCTTTTCCACATGAAATGGAAATAAAGGGCCATATAAAAGTAAAAAGAAATTATGAGTAGGGAAAATAAGTTATTTTAAATGAACCAAATGTTTTATAAACAATTAAAATAGGATGGCATTTGAAGACCCCATCCAAATCTGAGATTAAATGATTCTATGAACTAAACACAGAAAGGTGAGGTAGTAGAGATGAAGAAAGTGAAAAAAGATAGAGAAGAGTAAAGAAAAGCCCTAAAGAAACACCCCTCCCAAACACAGAGACTAACACAGCTGAGACGCAGGGACAATAAGGGGGAAGAACAAATTTAGTCAGATCTGGCTTCCCTCATCTGAAGGCTACCTCCTCAGAACTGTTCCATAACATAGTTTAACATTGGTGTCCGAATGCTGCTGGCCTCTCAAGACTTTTTAAATTATGCTGTTTTCCTTACTAGACTGAATTGCCTTGAGAATCAATGGTCACATACCTGCTCTCCTTCGTGGCTTGAGTTAGATTATAACTTTGGTTTATTAAAAACTTAATTTTATAATTCTTCTTCAGAATCTAGATCATAAATTTCCTGAGGCTGTCTCTTAATATCGATTACCAAATCGATGGTTAAAATTTTTGTCAAACACTGAAGAACTGAAGTTAGTAACTGGTATTTACCAGAGACTGATTCCAAACCTGTATAACTGCTTACCAGGGGTTGGTTGGTTCGCAGCGCATGGAGAGCTCTTATATATACTTGTGGAAAGCTGTGATTTCCTTTCTTAGACTTATATAGGATTTGGGGAATGCCTAAAACTGCATTAGCTATTATCCTACTAACCATGGCTATTTCTGATTGCTGGCATTTTTTGGCATAGTTGAGAAGATAGGAATTTAACAAGATCTCAAAATTGCCACCCACTGGCAAAACACAACCTGCTGGTATAGACGAGGAACAGTAATTCTGGGCAGCACCCATCTCCAGTGACTTGTATCTCACTGGTAACATACTCCCCTTTCCAGCAATTTTTGTGATCTTTAAATTTTCATAAGAAATTTCTAGTCTATCGTTTTCTGTTGTTGAATTTGTAGAAGAATTACACTCAAATGGATCATGGTCATCAATTATCTTGGTTTTGTGTGGAGATAAACATCTCAATGTTTCATCTGTCTGGTATGTATCTGTTGGTGTCACTTTTGGTGTTGAACATGGAATATGTGTTTCTAATTCTACACTTGGAACTACCAAATTTGAATGTACTTTTAAATATCTCTGAGTTTCTGCCAGTCCATCTTTGTTCTTTACAACTGTGCCCTGATTTGGCCTTTGTATTGAGCCAATTTCTAGTAACTGATTACTTTCTGTCATACTCTTATAAATAAGAGGACTTAATGTATGATTTTTATCACTGACTTGTATCATGTAATTTAGATCAAGGTCTTTAAATAACTGCTGAAGCATTTTAAAAGCTCCATGTAAAGCATCCTCATGTTGTTTAACAAGACCCTGCACTGGTCCACAAAGAACTATACAGTGTGGTATAAACGAACATGTGCTAATCAAGCCAAGATGAACATATCTTTTGGATCTAAGAATAAGGGGCTTATAAAACTTCACCAAAGCAGTGTTCGAAATTTCATACTGTGAAAAGGCGTGCGGTAGTACAATAGGAGAAAGACCAATGATCCTCTGAATAAGAGAAATTTCTTCAGATGATAAACACTCCACCACTGATATGCTATTCAGTCCTGCATAAAAAATAACTAAGTCCGGTTGTTTCACACTAGATAGCAGCAATTTTACATTCTGACTCTGTAAATGTTTCATTATTGCTTTTGTCCTTTCCATAATCCAAAATTGAGATGTCTGAAACTGTGCCTCTGAATTTAGAATAAACTCTGTTCCAAAAGTTGAAAAGAGAGGCTGAATACTTTCTGTTACTAGCACTATTCTTATGTCACCATCTGCTGGACAGTACACAGAAAAGTCTCTGTGAAGCACAAGTCCTGGTATGATCCTGGAATGTGAAACTGGAAGGCCAGTGACACCAACGTTCAACTCAACAAAACAGTCATCCACTAACTCACATACCTCTTTGAACCCACTTTCACAAGCCATACACTTAAAAAAGTAGTCACACATTAATCGTGAAATAAAGTCGTGATTATTTCTTCCCACTCTTCCACAAAAGTATGCCCCTAAGAGCAACTCTACAGAGCTCCTACACAACGTTCTCTCTTTAGTGGATGAAGAAAAGATGGACAAAAAGTGTCTACTTAAGTGCTGGTCCATAACATAGTCTAATATTTGTGTCTGAAACATCAGAAGAGCTTGGGAAATAAAATTCCACTGACAACAATTTTTCCAATACCTTCCATGGGTTTGAACATTTTTGGAAATCAAGGAATCTTTTCCTTTGTCTGTGACTGCATGGAGTCCTCTGAGTAAATGGCAAAGAAAGATAATAAATGTCTTAGCACCATCTCCCGTTTTTCTCAGATGACTGGAAACACATGCCACCATCATCCTGTACAAAAAAGAAATAAAGCAACTCAGACTATCAGTGGGCTGCCTTCCTACATTTGGATCAAGTTGAAACGATGTTTTCAGAGCTATAAGCATAAAATGTGAATACTGTCCCATTGATAGTTTTAGTTTTTCCTTTGCCAAGTAATTTTGTTCTATTCCAAGATTCTAGAGTTGGGTGGAGCGGGGAGGAGAGAGGAGTAAGTGTTCTTAGAAGGTGATAAGATTTGAGGTCCGGGGAAAGTGTTCCCTTAGGCATCGCTGTAACCCTGAGCGTACACTGGTCTTAGCCAAAGTCAGTTTTTCTAGCATAGCCTCAGGGATAAGTTCAGGGATATGGCCTGGGGTGCTCGTTTATGGCACGTTTTAATCGGCGGGAGTGTGGGACGCGGGTACCTGGCTAAGGGATGTTCTAAGTGTAGCGCCTCCAGGAGGCGGCCTCCATCCCGGCTGAGCAGTACCTCACCGGTAGGCTTCGTACACAGAACTTGACGACCTTCAGGCCCCACGCAGCAGCTCACGATGGTTTCCAGGACCTCCGCGACCTGTAACGCCGCCTTCACAGACCCTGCAGCGGCCATAGCCCTTCGAGGTCCCGCCGCTCTGCTCGCAGACTACGACCACCGCCAGGAGGGGCGGGTTGTGGCACGGCCGGAGGCGGAAGAGGCGGGGAGGCCGGAAACCCGGGCAGCTCTGCTTCTTGGTTGGGCGAGGAGGCTGCCCTTCCGCCCGCTCGGCTGGAAAGCGGCGCTTTTCTGCGGGTTGAGGCTAGCGGTTCAATAGCCCGGAAGTTAGAAAAGAGGTCAGGATTTCCCAGGATTTGTCCTTGGAGCGGAAACCGCTGGCCTTCCCTTGGTCCCTAGGTAAATTTGTTCCCTTCCGGTAGCTTCGATTACCACCAAATCCTTTTGTCTCCTAAGATGTTTCCTTCCTAAGTCGGCATGGTAATGGAGCCTATGGGAAGGAGGGAATGGTCACCGCGGGTAGGACTCGTTTTGTTCCCTGCCCCCACTAAAAGCTCCTCGTTTCGTAGCAAAACTTCTGCCTTGGACTTATGCATATTCTGTCCACTCTCCATCAGTTGCTCTCCTTCCATTCACGAAACCAGTTTAGGGATGCAGGATAGATAGGGAGGGGCCTGGTCAAGGTCACCAGCTGCAGGCTTTATGCTTTCCGCGGCGTACTTTGCTACATTTCCTGGACCAGGTATCACTATGAAATGCCAGCCACCACAATTTATCTTTAGCAGAAGCGATAGATGACTTAGGCACATAGGTGGTCAATAGTATGTTTTAAAAACAGTGGCCTGACAGATACAGACCAACGGCAGAGAAAAAACAAGCAGAACACTTTTATATATTAAAATACATGCTCTCTTAAGGATGAAATGGTTAAAAGCATGGGCTTAAGATTTGGACCTGGATTTGCTCTACCATTTACTTACCTGTGACATTCATTACGGAACTTTTGTCCACTTCTTTTATCTTAAGAAAAAAAAAAGATTATAGATATAAATGAAGGTGAGAATGTTTACAAAGCACTTTACTTACATGGTGCCCAGCATATACTAAGCACTCAACAGTCAGATGTGTACAGCTCACTCATCAAATTACTCTTGACATGTCACCACTGAATGGGCCCACTTTCTCTACAAGAAAGGGATATTTGGTTAAGGTGCAGAAGAGACGATTAGCATAATAGAGGACATCTATTAAGAGAGTGGGCAATATTAGTAAGAAAATTATCTTGTAGATGTTTCATTGGAATTGAACAGTGAGTTGTTTTTCTTACTTTATTCCTATGCATGGAACAGGAGAAACCTGTAAGCCCTCCCATCTTTTCCTGCCAATTAATAAGACAGAACCAACTGACCATTAGCCAGAAGCAACTGGACCCCGAGGAGAAAGCAAGAAAGGGAGGGGAGGAGGATGGAGGAAAACCAGAGAAGGATAATTTCTTGGAACTCATCTGAAGTTGACTCAGTATAAATAGGTGATTTGAGGGGAAAAAACTTTTTCATATAGGTTTTGTGTATATGCTTACTAGAAAAGTATTTTCCAGTTCTACCCATCACAAAGGGGTCACATTACTCATAAGATTCGAGCAGCAGATTGTTCCAAACATTAAAAGTGAAGAGCTGCGATCAGAGTTCTAGTTAAGTGTACACTGGAAAGAATGCGCACTAAAGTCAAACATGGATTCAAACTGGTGCTCACTATCATTCTTACTATCAAGCTTTTGGAATTGTTTAACTTCTCTGAGCTTCAGATTCTTCATCTATGAAATCGGAATAACTTCTACTTAAGATTATGAGTACTTAGGAAGAATGAATATAGAGTAAAGCAAACTTTAGGGATTCTGTGAAGTCCCAAGCCCTGCACAACGTTCACAATTACACCACGCAAAAATTTATTTTAATTTAAAAATTAGGACTAAGTAATTTAGTCACCATATATCATAAGTCAAAGTAATCTGATCACAATTTGTTCTTTTTAAAAATTTTATTTAGAATGCCTACTTGAAGAAGTTAGCATAATTTTACAGATCATTAGAAAAATTGTTTTGTCTCTGCAAACATTTATGATAGGTTGGGAATAAGAGATTAGAAATGTAATACATTACAAAACAGTAGCCTATGACTATCTGTACATTTACAATGCACCTCAAGGAAAAGAATTTGACAGTGTGCTGTACTTACACTGCAGATAACATACTTCTATTATATAAAACTGACCAGTGGTCGTGTTTGAATTTATAAATGGCCATCAATCAGAATTTTAACTTAGATATACATTTAGCATGATAAAAAGTGAAAAAAATTTCAACTGAAGTTCTGTGGCTCATCAGTTCAAATATTTTGTGGCATTGTCTTTAAATAATTTTCAATATTGTAATAGAATAATTTTACATACTGCAGAAAATTTTTAAAATATTTTAGAAAGTATATTCACATTCATTTTGTCATGGGTTTCTTGTAGCTCTTCTAAATATGTTAATTATGCTTAGGAAACACTGGTCCTATACAATTTTAACAGTCCATCTTCAGTTAAAAACTAACGAAACAAACAGTATGTTAAAAGTAACAAAAGGTAAGTTAAATATACTAAATTCACACTATAGGTAAACAAAATGAAACCAAATTATGTAATAGTGGCAGATTATACATTTTAAAGAACCTCTTTTACCATGTAAGTCAAATAAAATAGAAGTTGAAATGTTAACTTAGTGATTTCTGTGGGGTTCCCCTACCCCACTGTTCAAATTGGAAAATTTGGTACAAATGCTAATTTTAATATTTTATTTCTGTAGTAAATTTAACATAATTCAAAATAATATACAGTATCAATAATGCCATCATCACCTTATATCGAACAAAGAAAAAACAACTCCAAAATATATTCACTGCTCACTAGAAATGCTAGACACTGGGAAAAATGGAATTTTATACATTTGTTTTCTTAAATATTTGACTAAGATATTCTTCAAAAAGTTAAAACTGCCTTTCACAGAATTTTGTGTGTATATGGCACAAGTTGACACCAAAACAGTGTGAATTCCATCAAAAAGGCACTGTTTACAATACTCAGGATAATCTGACAAATCTACTTCAATGTGTGAGGGTAAATAATATATTTGAAATAGCTATATAGACAAACCGTTATAAAAGTACACCATTACCATTTAAATATACTTAGCTATATAAAAGGAAATAAAGTGACACAGAAAAATGATCCTTTTATGACAAGCCTATAAACACTTTGTATCATTATAGTTCTGTAACATAAAATGACAAAAAGTATTTTCTTAAAGGCACAAAAGCGTGAATACTAAATGAGGGTTGTATTTTACAAGGCCAATTTTTTCAACAGAATGGTGACAAAGATTACACTGTACCTTATAAGTGATACAAAAAAGTATTGACATGAAATACAAGTGAACTATCTATTGCTGAAACTTTACTTATTTCACATGCCCTAATTATTGTCTTTTCATGGGCCAGCTACATCTTGCTAAATGGTGAATAACAAAGGCATAGCACATTTAATAACTAAAACAGAAAAGCACATTTCAATAATTCTTACCTAAATTTTCATTTGAAAAAATAAAATTTTTGATCAAACGAAAATAACAGGTCATAAGTTCTTAAATCCTAGAAACCATTATGAGGCTCTCAGACAATTGGGAATTGTAAATCACAATTGTTATGAATTCACGTGTGAAAGAAGATTAATCTTAGGTAGAGAACATTCAAAGTCATTTACATATATGGCTAAATACAAAGTTAATTGTTTTAAAGGATTCACATACTAAGCCTGGTATAAGCAGTAATCTAACATTAAGCCGCCAATTCCTGAGTTTTGTGTTCAGTTCACAGAAAGGAACTCATACAACTAAAAGCATAAGACTATTAGATTAGATAAAATGCTTTGAGTGTACAAGAAACAGTCTTGAGTAATCCTGCTCTTTCTCATGAAATAGTTTTTGACTCTGGGTAGGTAATAAGAACCCATAACATCTGTCCTAAAAAGAAAATTTTTAAGAATAAGGAAAATAATTACCTTTCCAGTCTTAGAAAGATACATATACAAATAAAACACTATTTAGACCAAATGAAAATAACCCACAAGTGGATAAGACTAAAATCTCAAAGGGGGGGTTACCAACAAAAAATTTTAAGTTTTCAGGGTTTAATGATGAAACGACTTTGTGATCAGCCAATCAAATTATATATAATATAAATTAATACTAATTTAAACCATAAAAAGCTCAAATTGTACAATATTTACAAAATATATATCAATGAATAGACAGTTGAGCATAACATTGGTAACAGAAAGTGAGTACAATATTACAGTGACAGGTATGAAATACAAACATAAAACCACCTGTTCTAGTGCAGTTACATTAATTATATCAATACTTATCCTGGGTATAGGTACATCTTATCTGTGTTTTAATCAATTTACAAAATGTTTTCACATGTACATATGGAATATAGCATTGTTTTGCCAAAAATACATGGGAAATAGCTCTTCATAAAACCTAAGGATACTTAAGATAGCTATATCAGGAAAAAAGCAGGCTCTTTTTTGTCCTTTTCAATTGTCGTAATTTAGCAACCATTCTTTAATTTTATCATAGCATTAAACAATTGATTGTAATTTTACTAGTGTCCAACAGTCTCTTCTTAGGCAAAAGCAAATGTAGCCAGAGCAATTATTCTGACCATCATTTTCATTAATATCCATTTTGAAATCTATACTTTCATGATTCTAAGGTATATCTTAGAACAATGTGTTCCTAACCTTAACTTACATTTGCAAAAATTGCTTTTGAGGACTATAAATATTTATGTAAAGACATAAAGTAAAAATATTAAACTAAAAAAAAAAATTAGGAAAAAGTTTGCCTGAGCCTGAATAAAAAGGAATCTTGAAGAATTGTCATTTCTGCCACAGAATTACATCACTAAGAACCGTAGAGGGTAATAAAAAAAATTAAACTTCAGAACTTGATGTTCTTAGATGCTCAATTTATTGCACATTTTAAAGAAAATGATTTTAATGTACACAAAAATGCCACCACACCAAGTATCTTTTCTTATAGCCTTTCTCTTATTTGGCTTTTGAAGTAAAATATTTTAATATTTTCTATTCTACTTCTTCATTGGACACACTAGGGTCTAAATGAAAACTAAAGTTAAGTTTTTCATAATGAAAAAACATGTACTACCAGCATTTCATATACCCTATAAACAAGTCTAGAATTTGGCCTGTGTTATTGGACCGAGTTAAAAAAACAAAAATAAAAAAGGACAGCAACCAATTTTGACCACGCTTTTTTCAATAAGTGCTTAAGGTATTATATAGGTATGATAAGAAAGATGTAATCTATAGATCCAAGTAGCTGCATACCATTTTTTATGTTGATATACACGTACGTGCATTTGTATCTATATAAATATTAAATTCTAGGGGTTAAAAAAATCTTGTGTAAACTTTTTAAAAAGCAATTTGCCACCTTGTACCTCTCGATATATTAATTTTGACCACACTTTTTTTAGCTGGTTCTAAGAAGACAATTGAACTGGGTGCTTTGGAAATGATTTTTTTTTTTAACAGTACAGTGTATTGACCTATTTATAATGTCTATTATCCCATCATTTCCCATTTTGTAATTCCTTATTGATAAAAGTTTTCTGCCTATTTTATGAAGAAAATAGATTACTATACATATATTTCTAATGCTGATAGCATTTTTGTTATGAGCGTTAGTGCTGTATCTCAGAACATACTATAGAATACGAAGACTACTGTCAGGTATACATAAGATACAATTGTGTACACATGTGGATTTATTATACTCACATGTAGACACATTTTCACAAAAGCTAGAAATGTTCTGGCACTTAACATATAGCTCACATTAATAATGAAATAGAATAACTCTTATTCCAAGTTAAGGATAAAAGGTATGAAAGGTCAATACCTTTACATTTAAATCTAAGGTTTTGTTTCAGAAATATTGTGATGTTTTAATAAAGACCAAACCAACTTGAACATTGGTCCCAGGCCAAATCTGATCATTCCAGTTCATTGATTCAACTGTAAAGAACTTCTATTTAAACATGAAGTTTATTATGACTTGAAGCAAAATCAGAAGGAAAATGATGAAGTAGTCTTTTTGTTGCAGAAAATAATCCGTAGCAGGTGAGCTTGAAACCAAATGATTTCGAAGAGCCATAATATTTCTACAAAAAAAAAACAACAATAAGTTTTATAATTATTTGTCAAAAATGTCAGCACAGAACTCATAATTTGACATATGGTCACAGAGCACTTAATTACATGAACAAAAGTAACTAGTTCAATCAGTTACTACTATCTTACCAGGGAGCTGATTATGCTATGTAGAGCCATTATTAGGTCTTGTCTAAATCTATATTCCACATTGTACCACACATATTACTTAATGATGTGCATCAAACAAATTACTAAAGTTTGATGATGTCGAAATATATAACCTCTATTATCACAGTGGTTTTAAAACAAAAATTTTGCTTCTTAGTTGATCCACTAAGGTTCTTTTATCTTTAGGGGGAGAGAGGTTGAACTGGAGAAAAATCCTAAATTACCCAGGAAAAAATAATACAACAGATTTCATGGTGTTCCTAATTTGAAGAATGCGCTATAGAAATTTCATATGCTAACAGAAATAAAATGTTAATTTAGTCATGAAATGAGCTTAAATTATCCTCACGCCACCCTAAATACTCTGGCTAAAAAGAGCTGATTAGTGAAGACCTTTTCTGACTTCTTTTAATGTCTTACCAGTGTAGAGAAAGAAACAGATGAAACAAGTAGGCTCATTAATTAATATATATAATTAAATTAGGAGACTTAAGCACTTTATATAAGGACTAATGATACTGAGATGCAGCAGATATGCTCCCTGCTATAGAGGACCTCACGTCTAATGGAAGGAGAGGTGCAGTAAACAGACACAATAACAACCTTTGTAGTGTAGTAAGCACTTAAAATGAATATGTATAGGAAGCTAAACAAGCCTAGTGGACAGATTAATAATTGTACAGTACAGGGTGAATAATTAGCAATGTTATAAAAAGGGTGGCATTTGAAATATTCTGAAGGATAAACAGGGATTTTCTTGATGGGCAGAGTAGGAGGACGGGCAATCTAAGAAGTGGATTCGATGAGAAAAGATGAGAAAAGATGAGAGAAAGCAGTATTTTCTGGAGATGTGAGGAGTTTCATAGGACTTGAGATGGGATGGGTGTAGGGGGATGGAAGGAGATAGGCTGTAGATGAAAATAGCAACTAAATATGAATCATAAGATCACCATGTACAGAGAAAATCTCTCTAAAAGAAAATCCTCCATAACATCTAACATTAAGTGCCAAATACACAAAAGCAGGCTGGCTAATATTTAAAAATTGAGCATCTAATATAGCAATAGGAGGCAATCAATCTGAACTCATGCTAGCCTTAGCAATGCACAGCAGGATAAGGACCCTTTTCCCTCCAAAGAAAACTTTGTAGGTAGTTGCTGGATCATGGGGAGGTGTGTGTGGGGAAAAGTCTGGGACTACAAGTGGAGCACTTGAAGGTCTTAGGGTGGTGGCTATTTACTCATTGTCATGAAAATATTTCAAATTTTCAACAACTGTTGCATTGCACTTAACATTAGCCATGTACAAAAGGGACTGCAGAAACCTTTAGGTTAACTAGAAACCACCTCACTTCCACATCCAACCCAGCTACATTCCTAGTATGCTTCTGCAATAAGATAAAGACATTCCAATTCCACCCTCAAAGATGAGAAAAAATAACTTCCCCCTCTCCGCCAATATTTTAGTGCTGAAAGAATTTCATACATTTCAGTCATCAGGTGATGGAAGCCAAGGTTCTATTTTAGCTTAGCAATGATATAAAAATGTAAAGTCAGCATATATTTCCTACGTAACAGGATTCTTAACTACTCTTCTGAACTCAAACAATAGTCACTGTCAGTATATATTACCTTTTAATTTCTTCCTGTGTTTGTTTTATAGATTCGATGGAATTTTGAATGTCTCCCAGTTCTATCCCTTTCTTTCTTCTTGTACTTGGTTTTACTGATTGAGCTAAAAGGACATTTAGAATGAACTTGGTGAAAATAGTGAACATATTATACACAATCTACATTTCAGCTTAATGATTCTCATGTAATAAAAATTTTCCTAGGCATTATTTTTATGGCTCAGAGATTAACATGATAATACTAATACTCTGCATTTTTGAAGTTTTAATCATATCATTTCAAAAGTAGAACACTACATACTTAATGTAACCACAAATTAGTTAAATTTGTTTTATTTTTTAAATTAAAATAGACAAAATAGTTCATTAAAAATACATATATTAATTTGGGCAAGGTATTGCTCTCTTCTGTCTCTTGCCCATTTGCCTACATTTGAAGAATTCGGCTTTTTTAGCTCCCTTTTCAGTTTTTTATTAACTGTTAATATCATCTTTATTCCCCTAGTCACCCAAACTTTAAACCTTTCCAACTGGTTTTGAATCTCTTCTAGAAATTTTTATTGTCACACGTTAAGTGCTCAATAAATGTCAGCTGATACATTATAGGCAATATAACAGAAGGATAACAGGGTGAATTAAGAAGGAAAAATATCTGCATATACAACATATATATATGGTCCTGGGCAGGTTAACCTGTGTCTCAGTTTCCTTTTCTATGAAATGGGAACAACAGTGTAACTAACACTCCCTTCTAGCACACTGGTACCATGCAACTCTTGCTTTTAAACTTTTGCTCATTTTACTCCTCTTTTACTCCAGTAGTTTTTCTCCTACCTGCATCTCTCAAGCCTAGACGGCTGTAGTCCGTTACAATTCATCAGGGTTCCCTAAGAACACTTCCTCAAAGTGAATTCAGCTACCTTTCCTTTCAGCTCTTCACCACTTTCATCTACTAATTTCCTGGCATTTGTCATTTATTCACCTCTGGAGTTCTCTCTGTAAAAATGAGCTCCCCAGTTCAGTGTGAGCTTAGTTAGAGACTATGGCTTTAAAAAAACTTTATTGTTTCATAGTATCTCAGACATACCTTAATCCTTTCTTGGTTATATCTTAATGTAGTTGAACACAGTTTACACATTATTTGACTTAAATAAAATAGAACACTAGTTAATTTAGTCCATAATTTTGATGTAGTTATAGGTTACTTGCCTGTGACTTCTAAGCACTACAATAATTTATTCTGAGATTGAAAAACTATTCTGAAGCATGGAACTTAGCTCAAAGCTCAAAGAATGCTTCCTGCATTGGATCTAAGAAGCCATCAACATTTTTTCAGAAGCTACCAAGGCGTAAGAGCCACACTACAGTGTGGTTTTGATTTGCATGTTTCCCATTTTTTCATTCCCCATGCCTTTAACTGTGGCCTGGTCTTTAAATTTATAATGTAAAATAGAGGATTTTTTATACGCCATCCCTGCCCCCACAAAATCTCTTACATTATCTTCTTAAATTAATATGAAAAACCATTTTGGTATCTTTTTAAACATTTACTAATATCTTTTTAAAAATTTAGATCCCTATAGTGAATAATCTGCAATAAATATTTTTACCTTCACTTCCAGATGAGTCCTGGATATCAGGTTCTGGGGAAGAATAGCCTTTTGCTACTTTCTTCTGTTGCCTGGTTGGCTTATGTTTCATTTTTGGGACACTAACCTGAAAAAAAAAAATCATGCTATTATGTGAATTTGCACTGAATTTTGTAAAGACCAATGCTGTAAAACTGTCAAGATTCAAAAGCATATCAAACCATAAACTAGGATTAATTTTCCTTAGAATAATAAACTTTAGACTTAATACTATTAATAAGCTTGCAATTCTGGAAATATGTCTTAAATTAAAAAAAAATAGAAGAAACTAAAATCAGAAGGGCAAGATAATTTACATACATAGAAAACCAGGGAACCAGTGGTCACATGCCTTTAACTTAGTTCTTATCTGTTTACTGTTCTAAATAGGAACTAGCCCCAATTACCTACTCCTTGAAATAATTTTGAAAAATATTCATGTGCTTAAAATTAAAATTTCCATAATTTCATTATAGAAAATAAATAATAATGAGGCAGGTCCTGTATTCAGCCTACACTTGTCCTCCTACTTCAAGTCATGGAGACTTAAAATTTTATAACATTTAGAATCCAAATCCACATTCTTTGAGTAGGTTCAAATTGGAGACCGATGAAGACTAGCGAGAAGCTATTTAAAATGACAAAGGAAGTCAGTAATCCAACTCTCAGTATACAAAGATTTATTGTGATCAGTAAACTGTACCTTTAGAAGGAAATACAGATGCCCTGTGTGTCTATCATGTTAGCATTGTTACAGAAAGAAACTAAATTTAAATATTTTGAATTTCTAAATTGTGATAACTTATTTGTGTTTATATACATACACATATTACATATATAAGCTTTGCCATTTTAATCATTTTAAGTGTACAATTCAGTAGTAGTAAGTACATTCACAATATTGTGCAACCACTACTGCTACTTCCAAAACATTTTCATTATCCCAGAGAGACTGCAACAATAACTTCCCATTCTCTCCTTCCCTCAGTCCCTAGGAACCTCTAACCTTTCTATGAAATTTGCCTGTTTTATATTCTAAGTAGAATCATACAGTATTTGCCCTTTGTGTTTCACTTATTTCACTTAGTACAATATTTTCAAAGTTCATCCATGTTATAGCATGTAGCAGAACTTCATTCTTTTTATGGCTGAATAATATTATAACTATATACCCCATTTTGGTTATCTGTTGGACATTTGCATTGTTTCTACCTTTTGGCTATTGTGAACAATGCTGCAATCAACCCTGGTATGCAAGTATCTGAGTTTCTGTTTTCAATTCTTTTGTAGTGGAATTGTGGGATATATGGCAATTCTCTGTTTAGCTTTTTGAGGAACTCATCAAATAGTTTTTTTTACAGCAGCTGCACCATTTTATATTCTGTCAGCAATATACTAGGTTTCCAATTTTTCCACATCTTCACCAACACTTATTTTTCATTTTTAAAATTATTACCATTCTAGTGATGTGAAATAATACCTGACCTCATTGTGGTTTTGATTTGCATTTCCTTTATAACTAATGATGCTGAACATCTTTACATGTGATGGTCATTTGTATATCTTCTTTGGAGAAATGTCTATTCAAGTCTTTTGCTCATTTTTAATTGAGTTGGCTTTTGTTGTTACATTTTTTTATACCCTGGATAGTAAACCCTTACTAGATAAATGATTTGCAAATATTCTCTCTTATTCTGCAGGTTGTCTTTCACTTTGATAATGTCTTTTTAGCCACAAGTGTTTAATTTTGATGAAGACCCACTTATCTATTTTTATGTTGTTTCTTGTGCTTTTAGTGTCATATATAAGAATACATTACCAAATACAAGATAACGAAGATTTGCCCTGTTTTCTTTTAAGAGTTTTATGGTTTTAGCTCTTATTTTAGGTTGTGAATCTATTTGGAGTTAAGTATATGGTGTGAGGTAAGGGGGTCCAACTTCATCCATTTGTATGTGGAAATCCAGTTGTCCCTATACCATTTGGTGAAGAGACTATTCCTTTCTCATTGAGTGGACTTGGCAACTTTGTCAGAAATCAATTGACCATAGATATGGGTTCGCATCTAGACTCTCAAGTCTGTCCCTTTGGTTTATATATCTCTCTCCCAGTGCCACACTGTTTTGATTACTGTAACTTTGTAGTAAATTTTGGAATCAGAATGCGTGACTCTTCCAACTGAGCTCTTCTTCAAGATTGTTTAGACTATTCAAGGTTCCTTGTAATTCCATATGAATTTGAGGACTGGCTTTCCATTTTGGAAAAAAAAAATGTTGCAATTTTTACAGAGATTGCATTGAATCTGTAGATTTCTTTGGGTAGTATTGACATCTTAACAATACTAAGTTTTCCTACCTAAGAACAAATACGTCTTTCCATTTGTACGGGTCTTTATTTTCTTTACCAATGTAGTTTTCAGTGTACAAGTCTTTCACCTCCTTGGTTAAATTCATTACTAGGTATTTTATTCCTTTAGATAACACTGTAAATTAAGTTGCTTTCTTAATTTCCTTTTGAGATTGTTCATTGTAGGTGTATGAAAAAATAACTGATTTTTGTATGTTCGTCTTATATCCTGCAACTTTACTAAATCTGTTCATCAGCTCTAGTAGCTTTTTTATGGATTCTTTTGTGTTTTCTATATGAAGAATCATGTCATCTGTGAATAGAGGTAGTTTTACTTCTTTGTTTCAATTTTGGATACCTTTTCTTTTTCTTGTCTTGTTCCTGATCTTATGGGGAAAGTTTTCAGTCTTTCACCATTGAGTATGCTGATATATATTTTTTCATTATAAAAGAGTGTTGGATTTTGTCAAATGCCTTTTCTGTGTCAACTGAGATAAGCATGTGGTATGTCCCCTCATTCTATTAATGTGATGTATTATATTAATTGATTTTCCTATATTAAACCATTCTTACATTCCTTGGATAAATTCTACTTTGTCATGGTATATAATCTTTTTATATTCTGTCAGATTTGGTTTGTCAGTATTTTATGGAGGATATTTATGTCTATATTTATAATATTTATATATTTATATATTGGTCTATAATTTTCATTTTGGGGGGAATATCTTTATATGGCTTTGGTATTAGGGTAATGCTACCCTTATAGAATGAGTTAGGAAGTGTTCCCACCTCTTTTGTTTTTGGAAGAGTTTGAGAAAGATTAGTGTTTGTTTTTCTTTAAATGTTTGTAGAATTCGCCAGTGAAACCATCTGGTCCTAGATTTTCCTTTGTTTGGAGGTTTTGGATTACTGACTCAATCTCTTGTTATGGGTCTGTTGAAATGTTCTATTTCTTTTTAAGTTAGCTGATGTAAATTGTGTGTCTCTAAGAATTTGTACATTCATCTCGGTTACTTAATTTGTTGGTATACCACTGTTCAAGTATTTTCTTATCATGTTTTTTATTTCTGTAAAGTCAGTAGTACTATCCCCACTTTCATTTATTATTTTAGTTATTTGTGTTTTTGTTCTTTTTTTCTTTCTTAGTCTAGCTAAAGGTTTGTCAATTTTGTTGATCTTTTCAAAGAACAAACTTTAAGTTTCATGGTTTTTCTATTCTCTAGTTTGTTTCTCTGCTCTAAATTTCCTTCTGCTAACTTTGGGTTTAGTTTTCTTTTTCTAGTTCCCCATTGTTATATTATTAACTTGAGAGCTTTCTTCTTTTTGAATGTAGGCATTCAAAGCTGTATATTTACCTTTGAGTACTGCCTTCAATTAATCTTATAAGTTTTGGTATGCTGTGTTTTTGTTTTTATTCATGTAAGTTTTTCTATTTTCCCTTGAGATTTCTTATTTGATTGCTTGTTTAAGAGTGTGTTAATTTCCACATATTTGTAAATTTCCCAGTTTTTCCTTCTATTACTGATTTCTGGCTTCATGTCACTGCGGCTAAAAAACACTTTGCACGTTTCAATCTTTTGAAAATTTATTGAGATATGTTATATGTCTTAACATATGGTCTATCCTGGAGAATGTTCCACATGCACTTGAGAATGTATAGTCTGCTGTGGTTGGGTAGACTATTCTACATATGTTTACCAGGCCTACTTGCTTATTGTGTCGGTCAAGCCTTCCGTTTCCTTATTACTCTTCTATCTAGATTTTCTATCCATTATCGAGAATGGTATAGTGAAGTAGCCATCTATTGTTATAGAATGGTCTATTTCTCCATTTTGTTAATGTTAAAATCATATATTGCGACTTAACTGATTTCTACATATACAACTGTTATATATTCTTGATAAAATGACTCATCAATATATGCTGTCCTTCTTTGTGTTTTATAAGTTTCTGATTTAAAGTCTATTTTGTCTGATATTAGTATAGCCACCCCAGCTCTTTTTTGATTACTATTTGCTGAAAAAACTTGTTCCATCCTTTCATTTTACTCTATTTGTGTCTCTGGATCTAAAGTGAGTCTCTTGCAGACGGCATATACTGGGATCATGTTTATCTTAATCCATTCTGCCAATCTACCTTTTGATTAGAGAGTTTAAACTATTTACATTTAATGTAATTACTGATTAGAAAGAACATACTTCTGCTATTTTACTGTCTCCTTTACATCTTATACCTTTTTATTCCTCATTTCTTCCATTACTACCTTCTTTTGTGTTTAGTTGATTTCTTTAGTAATAAAATTGTCTTGATTCCCTTCTCATTTTTTGTATGTATGTTTTAGATATTTTCTTTGTGGTTACATGGGGATGATATTTACACCTAAATTTGTAATAATCTAGTTTGAATTGATACTAAATTAATTTCGATAACCACAAAAACTTTGTTCTTATACAGTTCCATCCTCCTCTCTTTAGGTTGTTGTCACAAACCACACCTTTATACCCTGTGTGCCTAATAACGGATTCGTAATTATTATTTATTCATTTATCATTTAAATACTATAGGAAATAAGAAGTGGAGTTATCAGTTAAAACGACAATAACGTTGGCTTTTACATTAGCCCAACTATTTATCTTTACTGAGAATCTTTATTTTTCACATGGCTTTGCATTTCATTTCGATCTGAAGGACTCCCTTGAGCATTTCTTATAGGACAGGTCAGTAGCAGTGAACTTCCTTAGCTTTTGTTTATCTGGAAATGTCTCAATTTCTCCCCAATTTTTGTAGAACAGTTTTGCCAGATACGGAGTTCTTGGTTGACAAGTTTTTCTTCCAAATTTTAAATATTTCGTGTCATGCCTTCTGGCTTCCATGCTTTCTGATGAGAAATTGGCTGTTGCTCCTACTGAAAATCCCTCATCTGTGAAAGTTGCTTCTCTCTTGATGTTTTCAAGATTCTCTCTGGCTTTGACTAATAATGTGTTGGTATGGGTCTCTTTGAATTTATCCTACTTGAAATTTATTGAACTTCTTGGATTGTAAATTCATGTTTTTCATCAAATTTGGGAATTTGGAAGAATTCCTTTGCCTCTTTTCCTCTTCTATTTCTGCAACTCATTAATGCATATGATGATCCACTTAATGTTGCCCCATAGCTCCCTTAGGCTCTGTTCACTTCATTCTTTTCTTTCTGTTTCTCAGACCAAATAATTTCAATTGTCCTATCTCTAAATTTGCTGATTCTGTCTTCTGTCTGCCTGAATCTGCTATTGGATATCTCTAGTGAAAATTTCATTTCAGTTCTGTATTTTTAAGCTCCAATATTTGTTTGATTCCTCTGTATAATTCCTCTTCATTGATATTCTGGTTTTGTTTATGAATCTTTTCCTTCATTTCCTTTAGTTCTTTGTCCTAGTTTCCTTTTAAAACATGGATGAAGAACTTGTCCTTGGTTTAAAGTTTTTGTCTGGTGTCTGGACTTCATCAAGGATGGTTTGTCAATTTATTTCATTCCTTTAAATGGATTATACTTCCTGTTCCTTTGTATGCCTTATTTCCCAAACTATTTTTGCAAAACCTGTACTTTTGTTGTGCAGGTCACTGCAGTGTGTGTTCCTTAGCTGTGTCAGCTAGTATTTTGATAGAGATTTCTGTGAACACCAATAGCTAAACAAATAAAAACAAAAGGCAACAACAACAAAAAAGACAACAACAAAACAAGTCTCCCAGTCTTAGCTGACTGGCTCTATGCAGGAGCACTCCTTCGACACTTAGCCAAGCTTGCAAAGAGCCCATGTTTTAGCCTGAGGTGAAAGCTTAGGTTTTTATAGGTCTTTTCTGGGCAAAAACATCTTGCCTTGGACATTTACATGGCTTTCTAAATTTCCCTAAACACATGTCATTTTAAAATGCCCTAGTGTGCCAAAGAATCTCTCTCCAGCTTTTGTTTCTGACTATTGTATGTTTCAATGGCAATCTCTTGCACTGGGTGTCTGCAGTTACTTTCGCTTGCAGTACTTCCAAGCATTGCCTGCAGCCTTTCTAGCTGAACTCTGAGTTAGATAAAACAGAGATGTGGACCCTGCATAAATCCTCAGAGAGACCCCAGAGAGGTTACAATGGATGTACAAAACAGTTTGTGAGGTGTGCTCTGCTCCCTTGGGAACCAGGGCTCATGCTGGGAACCTGGGAACCCTTCAATGCTACTGCATCAGGTAGGGGTCGGAGCTAGGGCAAGTAAAAATGCCATAAAGCTTTCCTACTGCTTTGAAGTCACCTCTTTCTTGATACAGTGTTCACTTAATTGCTGCAAACCTGTATTTCCCAAGTTCTGGGAAATTTGGTCTGAACAGTTTCTGCTTGCTTCTTTATGTTTCTTTGTGGGAGAGAAGAGCTTGGAGCTGCCTACTCCATTTTGCTGACCCAAAATTTTAAATTTTGAAACCAAATTTTAAATGTTGGTGGCCAAAGATACTAACTAGTAAAGAGTTAAAACATTTATATGCCTAGCAGATTTAGTTACTTTTTTATCACGTACCATTGGAGTACGATGTTTCACTTTGGTCTGGATAACACCATCTTTTTCAAACTGTATCATATCATTAAGTGGGTCCCATGGTCGAGTACTATATAAGTGAAAAAAAACACCACCATTTGTTTAATAACTAAATAAAACACTAAAAAACTTTTTGAAAGTTTAAAATAGATTTTTCATTAGTAATTATAAACCTAGAGGTAAGATTAATATTTATTATATCTAATCTTCTTATTCTCACCTTATTTTGTAGGTTAATTACTATCATGGAATAAAATTTATAATGAATGGAACATCAAATTTAAAATCTCACACTAATTTATATATATATATGGCTTAATAAAAAACTACTTCAATAACAATAAAAATTCTAGAAATGAGGGCAACGATGCTCATATACTCTTTTTGATTACTTACTCTGCAAATTTGTAATGCCATTCTCCTGTAAGTGGATCGAGTTCAAATAACTTGCAAGCCCATTCTTCATTTTTTGTTTTCCGATCTCTGGCAGCTTGTCTTTGAGCTTCTTCTAAAACATACTTCTCTTGAGTAGCTTCTGTTTGGTCTTTGACATTTATGGCTCGAGTTACCCGCTGCCAGAGTCTAATACATGTGCAAAATAATATTTAAAAAAGGCAACAGAAAATCAAATCTACATTGAATAGATTTGAATCCCCTTGAGAGAAAGTGATGTCCATGTGGGTTTTTGGCTTTGACAAAGCTTATGCTTAGATGTTTAGAAATGAGTCAAAATATAAAAAGTGGTGCCTTGAGTGATACAGTGCAGACTAATTTTTCTTGGCAAAAAAAAAATTAATTACATTGGTTCTTAAGCACGTGGCAATGAATGGTACTGACCCAAGATGACAGGAATGTAATGAAGGCTCAAGAATCTAAATTTCTAAAAAGGTCCCCAGATGATTCTCATACAAACTGTTTCGGATCCACTGGCATCAAAGATCCAATAGTGTAATGCCACGCTTCCCAACCTCGAATGCAAGACTTATCATGGAACTGTTAAAATCAAAATCTCTGGGGGTGCACTCAAGTATTGGTTTTTTAAAAAATGTTTCCCAGATGATTTTAATATTTAGCCAGTGTTGAGAACCACTGATTTAACAGAAAAGACTACTGAGGTGACATCTTTTCCCCTACTAAAGTTTAGTTTTATATCAGATAAACAAAAATATAATATATGTATTCTACCCACCTGAGACAAAAGCATGTTGGGATTTAAAGAATAAAGGCTTTGGAATTAGACAGACAAGTTGAAGCCTCGATCTGCCACTTCTTGGCTGATGAGCCTAAAGTTACTTATCCTGTCTATGATTCATTTTCCTCATCTTAAAATAGTTAAATTATATCCACACCTCAAAAACTGTTGGATGCCTTGGCAAAGTTTCACTCTGACTGAAGAGAATCATGTGGCTATAACTGAAACAGAATTTTTAGAACTGGTGCATACATATTCTTCCATCTTTGACAGCCTCAATTTTGAGTGTAGAAGCACAGTACAGAGACTTGAATCTCATTAGAAAGAATGATAACACATGTGGAACATGAGGTGAGGACTAAATGGCATAATGTGTATAAAGTACCTAGTATAATGTCTTTTACAGAGATGCCCCACATCCTTCTCCTAACACAAAATATAGTAAGAATAAAATTGGGCAATGTGTACATAATATTTTTGGTTCAAAAGTATTACAGATCTAAGAATTTTATGACTTTAAGAACAGAAACTATGGCCTTAAATATTACCCAACTAATGTAAGTCCTCTAGAAGCCTGCACATTCAGTGGCATTATTCTTGTATTTTAGAAAATGAAACAAAAGTAGATTTTGCACCACGTCCTTCACCTACAGTTAGTTCTATGTCTCACCCAGCTTAGAAAATAGCTACCAGATAAAAACCAAGAATCATTACGTAGTCCCATAATTTTATGCAGACAAACTAGAAGGTTCTTTTTTCTTTTTATTTTAATAGGCCCTGGAGCAGATAAGAAGAGAAAGGAAAAAATGAGAAGTTTTACTTTAGAGCTGCAGAAAAGTAAATATGATTTGTATTATATTTATTTGACATTTGCATAAACTAAGATGGAATCCTGTCACATCCCACACATATTAAACTACTTTGCTGCATTAAAATATGACTCAAGAGAGAAAAATACCCACACCATTGAGGGATTAAAAAAATATTCTTTATCATAATGAAACTAGCCGAAAAAGAATATACTTACTTCTCTGATTCAAAGTCTCCCTGCTCTTCAAATTTTACAGTGTGCCTTATTAATCTCCATTGCTTAATGTCTGGTGTTGGATTCCAGAAAACCTCTGAATTATCAGTCTTTTTGTCATTAATAAAAACTTCACTATCCTATATTTAAAGAAATTAAAAATTAAGGTAGAGAATTATCTTTATTTAAAAAATTATATTTAAAAGAGGGTTATATAGTATAGTAATATAATTCTTCCTGATACTTAATCCCTCAGTCAAACAGTTTTAAAACAAATATAACTAGCGCTTTTCTGAAAGCCCCAAATCTTGTCATTTTTATAAAAACATTTTAAGATTAAATATGTTATACTAGTTATTTAAAAATTTGATTGAATACACTACAAGTTGGTGAGATTTCACAAGTTTTACTAAGGAAATTTCAAACGATTACATGCAAAACCTCAACAACCATCTCGAAATCGCCAAAGTGGCCCACAGGGTTTGCTGCAGCTACAATGAGATGTTAGTGACTATTTACGCACTCAATATATGTAGAATGTCTATGGCCATGCCACCCTGAATGTGCCCGATCTTATCAGATCTCAGAAGCTAAGTAGGGTCGGGCTTGGTTAGTACTTGGACGAGAGACCATTTAGGAATACTAGGTGCTGTAGAAAAACAGGAAAAAGCCTCTTAGCATTAAAAATTTGAGCATATTAGAAATTTCATTTTAAAAAAGATTTTTATCATTTTTCCAAATGGTATTGAGATAGACATAAGTTTTAAAAATTACAAAGCATATGTGGCTTCTTAGCTGAGTTTTTAGACCATTTCATTTTCTTATATTTCTCATCATTTTCTGATTATGACATAGAAAACAGCACATATTCAGTGTTCACAGTGAAAGTGCACCAGAGCAGTAGCATGATGTAATTCCATTTTATTCATTTAAGCTTCTCTTAACAGAATTACATAAATGTGAATTTAGGTCAGCAGAGAAGTGAATAGAAGCCATTGCTCTCGTAAACCACTATATACTCTCCATGTCCCACAAAGGAAATATAACTCTCACTGGAAATGCCCCTGCCCTCTGGGTGAGAGGCAGTTACTGTTGTTCATAAAAGCACAGCCCTGGAGTCACAGTACCTGGTGAGAATTCTCACTCCACCACTTACTTGGAACAAATTAGTGAAACTCTATGTGCCTCAGTGTCCTCCTCTATAAAATGGGGACAATAACAGTACCCACACCTCATAGGGTTTTTACATTAATATTAAATGAGCTAATATGAGGAACATTTTTAAACAATGCAGGACACAGTAAGTGATATATAAGCATTAGCTGGTTTTATTGATTTAAAGTTTTGGAAAGTTAAATACCACATAAAACTAAATATTATCAATAACAGATCAACACTGAAATATTTGTTAAGCTGAAGGTTATGTTAAATAGTGACACTTTTAGTAATAGAATAAGTGAGCTTATAAAATGTGATTGTTAGTTTTTTTCCACAGAATAAAATTCTTTTGTTAAACTAAAATATAAAAACACTTACCCAATGGCCTTCCAAAGTAGCTAGGACTTCTTTTCCCAATTTAAGTTTCCCTGATATTTGATTAACACAATCACTACTACCTAGAAATGGCTTTTAAAAGAGAAAATGTTAAAGAAACATTTTGCTTTTAACTTATATTTACATACAATGTAGGCAAAGAAAAAAACAGAAAAAGTAACTATTGTTACAGTGTTGGTGAAATGCTGATTCAAATTTTAGTCAGAAATGTTCCATTAAAAAAATGAATTTGTTGCTGTGGAAAAAACAGGTTAAAAAATACTATGTGAAGTCCAAATACACATATTGAGAAAGATCACACTTATATAACTGGCTCAAGTCCTGTGCTTCCTCCTAACTCAAGACTGTACTCTATCAGTGTTGCAATATATGAAGCAATAACAACTCAGTACATTTAAGAGATGTTAACTATTGAAAGAAAAAATGCCCCCACCTTCAAACAGTAAAACAATATTGAACCAAAAATCCCTCCAAAAAATATTAGAGTTATTATGTTGCCTTACTGATGTTTCTCCTCAGTAACAAAATTTTGATGTCTAAATCTAATACTTAAAGGTATCGTAAATTACTTAAGACCTCTTTAGTCGTTATTTTCAAATATCATTATCACCATACAAACAAAAATTTGTTGAGATTAAAAAAAATCAAAAGGTATTGCATCTAATAATACTTAAAGGAGATCCTTTTTATTAGATAAAAGTTGCTGATGAGCTAGATATCAACATAGGAGCTATTAAATATTAAACAGTTCATAGAAATGTTTTTACCTGAACACAGTGTACTGTCTTACACCAATCACTGTAAAAAGGTCTTAAATTTCCCTTTCACTCCAAGGCAGACAGGATTTTCCAAAGATGGTCTCAAATTTACCTACCCTTGCCCCTCTAACTCATACACTCTTCTCACACTGAGAAGTAGGGTCTACAGCCCTTTCCCTTGAATTTCGGTGGGTTTATAACCCTTCAACTAATACAAGATGGTGCCAACCAAAAATTTTATTAATTAAAATTAAAAGAAAAAAAAAATGATGGCTTTGTGTTCATTGAGATCTTCCAAGGCTGCCCTTTCATAAATTCTGTGTTCTTATATTTAGTCTTTAATTAGGAACTAAACTGTACTCTTTGGTTTTTATAATGTAGTTCCTCTTTAATTAGGTGATACCTCCTATTATTCTCTACTAACCTTTAGTTTGAATTCAAGTATTGCACTATATCCGGTTTTTTGACATGTAATATTGACTGTTCCACCAAGCTCCAGTGTCATCGTGCCATAAAGAATTCCTAAAAAACAATTTTGACAAAAGGCTGAAAAAAGAGAGACAATGGCTAATAACAAGCAGAGCTTTAAAATCTAATAATGCAAGGGTATTCTGTCCCACTCGATAACAATCTATAATAAACACATAAAGTTGGTTCTGTAGGATTTTTAAATAGATAACAGTTGATATACATTATTTGCAGAATCCATATTTGCAAATCCACATACTCACTAATATATATTCTCCAAATCAATACCCACAGCACTTTTGCAGTCATTTGTGGCAGCAAAATGGGCAGCAAAATGGGCAGAGTGGTTAAAATTTTGAGCTATCCAATGTGCACATTCCCAGCTGAGGTCAAGCAAGGTGACACTCTGCTTTCTCATCTCATCTCTCAGATGGTAAAACAGGTGTCTTTTTTTATAGTATATTTAGTGCCACATTTTTCACATTTTTGTGCTTTTTGGTGGTGATTTTACTGTTTAAAATGGCCCCCAAATGCTGTGCTGAAGTGCTGTCTAGTGTTCCAAGGCGCAGAAGGCTATCAGGTACCTTACAGAGAAAACATATGTATTAAAGCTTGGTTGTGACAAGAGTATACAGTGCTCTTGGCTGTTAGTTCGATGTTAATGAATCAACTACATATTAAATAAAGTGTCTTTAAATAGAAACAAGGTTCTGTATAGATTAGTTGATAAAAATGTGACAAGGGGCTCACAGAAAGTGTTTCCCCTAGGAGCAACGGTTCAGTATTCATTAATTTAGTGTTTGTGGTGAATTTATAGAACATAACTACTGCCAACAACAAGAATCAATTGTATAAGACAAGCAGATTTAAAAAATACCCCCAAATAGGGCTAAAATCTGGAGAAATTCTGAATTTAACAAAGTGAGACAAAAATCTATTCTTAGAATAAGCTGTTAAGGCAGCCTTCATCTGCAAATGCACAATGTTAATTTCCAAGAGGAGAACAAATTATGCGATGCTTCTCATACTTATTTGCCAAGGACCTCTCTTTTTGTAAAACAATTTGTGAGACTAGTGATTTGGAGAACACATCTTAGAAAATATACAGGGTAGAAAATAATCTCTATTTCTTCTGATCATTCTACAAGGGGTTATATTATCTTTTTTCCAATGAAATAAAAAGAAATGCTATGAAAATATTTTCCCCTGTTGCTAGTAGGGTATGGTATTGGGTATCTACATAAACTATCATTTTATTTCAAGTGATATAAAATTTAAAAATATAGTTCTTATCAATTCAGTTCCTAATTTCAGATATTTAACTTCATGTATATTTCAGAAACCACATGTGAAGCTCTAAGAATGATCTAGCCTCAGGCCACAAGTTGGCCCCTCATCTTTAGTGCTAGGTAGGTTCTGGTACAGTAGATGGGAGTCGACAAGCCCAGAATTTAGTCTCAGCATTCTTACTGACTAGCTGGTTTGGCCTTGGATAAGAATCTTAACTCTTCTGGTTTTCTCATATGTAAAATGAGGTCATATTAAATAATCTCTGTTTTCATGAATCAGTTCCTAAAATATAAGATAATTACCAAAAAAAAGTTATTTTTAAGAAATTGGTTGGAAATGAGGGTACAGATAATGATCAACCTGAGAGTTTAAGCTGATGCCCTACAGCACAGTAGTTCAGTTCACAGAGATCTGGACTCTGCCACATCCTAGCTGTGCAAGATCAAGCAAAGTAACGTCTTTGTGCCTCATTTTCCTTGTCCATAAAAAAGAGATAATATCGCTATTTTACGGGGCTGCTGGGATGACTGAGTTTATAAATGTAAAGCATACAGAATAGTTGGGAGCCTAGATTGCAGTAAATGATAGTTATTATTTAATATTTTTACTTGTACCCTAAATAATAGGGGAAAAGCATAATATATTAACTTTTAAGAAATTGCCAAATGAGGATGAAAAAAATTGTTAAAGGACTTGGTACACTGAAAAGCAGTATATTAAAATGTTAAAAAAGGGTGCTGATTTAAGAAGATAAAAATCATTTTTAAGAAATTTGAATAGGCAGTTTTATCAAATTTTAAAAACTGTACTTAAGGCAAATGAAATTCTATTATTATAATCACTCTCTTCCAACTATGTATGTGTCATAAAAAGTCCACTGTGGCTGAATTAATTCACCACAGAAATATTCAGCAGATGACAGTAATAATCTTAAGTATCTATAAATCTAGGACACTTTCGATCAAAAGGCTGACTCCCATCAATCTCAAAACAACAAATTACAGCTATATTCATTTATTTAAAAAGCTCTAAGGAATATCTAACTCAAATATGGAAAATATTTACCTTTACAATGAGCATATGGCATTGTCATTACATAATCTTCGCCTCTATTCAAGAAAGTTAACCGTGCTTCTCCTTCTAATATGGCAGATAATGAGTTTCCTAAAATAAATAGTTTATTAAATTTCACAAAACTAATTCAATCAATTGAAAACAAACAAGATATATTCAGGACACCTACCAGACATGTACAGTGGAATGTCTTAAAAATGTCTCAATCTCAATGTGCCCAAACATGTATTTGTTATCTTCTATCTAAAACATATTTGATCCATATTCCTATTCTTATAAAATGAGTACTTTTGAATTTTGAAGGTAGTTATGTGATTATGCATTCTGACAGTCCTGGCAATTGTACACAGTCATGTTAACTACCTACCACAAGCAAGATACAGAATTTTCCATTACTCCAGAAACTTTCCTTTTGCTCCCTGGAAGTCGATGTTCTCCTCCAGCCCCAGGAAACCACTGGTCTGGTTTCGATCACTGTAGTTTTACCCATTGTAGAGTTTTGTATAAATGGCATCATAAAATATGTGGTTTACTGTGTTTGACTTCTTTGGCCTAGCAAAATGGTTTTAGATTCATCCATGCTGTTGTGTCAACATTTCAGGCTATTTTAACAATAGTAAAAAATCTAATATATAAACATAGCATATCTCTTTGTTTACTTAATTTTCCTCAAAAATGTTTTGTAGTTTTCAGTGTACAGGTTTCACATATCTTTCATTAAACATATTGTTAAATATTTTATTTTTCAGATACTATTGTAATCGAAGTTGTTTTTAAATTTTCATTCTACAAATATTCATTTTTAGTATATAGAAATACAATTGACTTTTGTATTTTGACCTTGTATTCTGTAACCTTACGAAATTTACTTATTAGTTCTAGCAGTTTTTTGGTCTTTTCTTAAAGATTTTCTATGTAAGGCAGGTATATATATGGTTTAATTTCTTGCTAATCTGTATGATTTTTTAACTTTCTTCTGCACTGGCTAGGACCTCTAATATAATTTAATACAGAAGTAGTGAGAATGAACATTCTTGCTTTCTTTACTCCTGATCTTAGGTAAAAATTATCAGTTTCTACCTTAGGAGCATAAAATTTGCTATATATTTTTCATAAATACCTTTAATCTAGTCCTAATTTGTTGAGAGCTTTAATTGTGAATGGGTGTTGAATTTTGTAAAATGCTTTTTCTGCATCTCTTAAAATGGTACAGTTTTCCTTTATTCTATTAATATGCATTACACTGATTTTCAGATGATATACCAACCTTGTATTATCTGAGATAAACCACATTTGATCATAACATATTATCCTTTTAATATACTGATCATATTTATCCTTTTTATACATCCTTTTGTGTGTGTGTGTGTGTGTGTGTGTGTGTGTGTGTGTATTACTATCTTTTATCTATATATTGATTTATTATAAATTTGTTAAGGATTTTTTAATGTATATTCAAGAGAGATACTGATTTGCTGTTTAACTGTAATGTCTGGTTTTGGGGATTAGGGTATTGCTGGCCTTATAAAATAAGTTAAGATGTATATCCTTCTATTTTCTGTAAGAAGTTGTATATAATTGGTATTATTTCTTCCTTAAATGTTTAGATCTCAAGACATCTGGGCCCGGAGTGTATCTTTGAAGGAAGATTTTAAATTACTAATTCGATTTCTTTCACTGATTTAAGGTTACTGAAATTTTATATTTCTTCTTGAGTAGTTTTGGTAATTTGTATTTTTTTTTAAGAGATTACAATCTAAACTGTCAAATTTATTGGTATAAAATTGTCTGTAATATTTCCTTATCATCCTTTCAGGGTCTGTAGAATCAGTAGTGATTCTGCTCATTTATTCCTGATTTGTATTGTCTTCATCAGTATAAAATCAGCTCTTAGATTCCCTGGTTTTCTGTATTTTTGCCCACATTTTACACTAATGTCTGCTCTTTATTGTTTTCTTTCTTCTCCTTACTTTTAATTTATTTACCTCCTTATCTAATTTCATAGGGTGAAAAGTCAGGTTACTGACTTAAATCATTCTCTTTTTCTAATTTAAAACCAAAAATTTCCCTCTAAGCCCTGCTTTTGCTATTATCCCACAAATTTTGGTATATTTTCATTATCATTTAGTTTAAAATATTTTCTAATTTCTCTTGACCCATGAATTATTTAGAAGTGTGTTATTTAATTTCCAAATATTTGAAATTTATCTCTACATATTATTTGTTTCTAATTCTATTTCATTGAGATTGCAGAATATACACTATAATTTTCAATCTTTACGGTGAAATACATGGTCTATACCAGTGAAAATACCATACGTGTACTTGAAAATAATGAATATCCTGTAACCGTTGACTGTAAAGTTCTAGAATTATCAATTAAGGTAAGGTGGTTCATAGTGTTCTTCATTTTCTTAAGCCATTTACACTATAGTCAGAGTGTAGAAGGATGGAAGGTGCAGTAGGGAGAGAATAACATTAAAATAAAGAACCTTCAGAAGAAAGCAATCACTCTTTGAACAAACAAAACATGAAACTAGGCAAAATAAATAAGTAAATAAATAAAAATAAAAATGAAACCCATACAAAACTAACATTAAGAGAAATGAAAGACAACTTGAAGAAAAATAAAAGCATACATCATGTTCCTGGATCAAAAACAATAAGATTTATAAGATATCCCTGTCACACATTTAATCTATGGTTCTCTACCCTCTCAAATAACCAAAACTTAGGTTTCTGTTGACATATTTTATTTTTCCTATTTTGTCATAATTATTTTTTCTATCAAGTTTAAAATTCTCTAGTGAAATTTAATTTGTTAATTTTTCTCCATTAACATTTTTTAATTGAATAAAAGTATTTAAGGTTACATATTTTCTACTGGTGTATAAGTTTGGCCACAATTCATTTGTTTGGACTGTCATACAGTTTTTTAAGTTTCCTACTGTAACCACATTTTTCTATTTCTCCTTATACTTAACAAAACATTTTATTGGTGTGTTATTTATTTGGTCCAAAGTTAAATACTATTACTAACTGATGCTGGAACAAGTATTCAAACTGTACTTGAATTCTTTTTCTTTCTATTCAAAGACTAAAATAGAAAACTGACTCCCAAGGTACATTAAAATGGAACCAAAAAACCTTAGTAGGGCTAAAAGCAAAAGAAATACATTATGCACTAAAAGTGCTAGTTATGGTGGGCAATCATTATTCTGTCTTTTGATAAGTGGTGTTTGTGATAAATTTACACTTATGTGGTATATACTTATATAAAATGAGTCGTACCTCTATTTATAAATGGGCAAAGAAAAGCACTATAAAAGAAAGGCCATTATCCAAGTAGATACTTAAAATGGCACATACATTCCTTGTTCAAAACAGCCAAAAACTTATCTAAATAAAAACTCACTAAAAAATAACTTCCTCCCAGAAAAGGATGCAGACTGAGACAGTGGGAAACTCACCATAGAACTTGGACTTAGCCAGGATACTACCACTAAGGCAAAATCCATCCTTTCGGTTACTAACATAAAAGGCAGATATTGGTGGATGATGGGACACCTATTAAACAGAGAGAGAGAAAAAAAAAAAAACAATATAATTAGCATATTATTGTGCTATTATCAAACATTCAAGTCTTAAAAGTATACTCTATTAATGAATAAGAAGAAACATTTGGTAAGTAGTAAAATTAAATATTGTTATAGTTATCAGTCTCCCAGATGTCTCCTAAAGAAACTCATCTGGTATTTACACCATTAGGTGGACAGTATGCCACTTTTGAAACTAAGTTATAATGTAGCATCCATACCTCTCTCTCTGTCTGTCTATCTGTCTCTCTCCCTCTCTCTTTCTCCTCGCCCCCGCTCCTGCTCAGATCATTAGCTCTAAGCAGCTAGCTAGAGAGATAATGTCATATTCCTGAGGTTTGTTAGGGTGGGGGGGTTGACAATCATATTATGAAAATAAGTGTATGTAAGTTTAAATTAATAAAACATTAAAACTAAGAACTATTTTCTGACTGTCTACTATGTGTACAATAAAAAGAGATGTATTAACAGGAGGGTCTACCTTCAAGGGGCTAACAATTCAATGTTCTATAAAGTTAATACAAGTGTTAAAATAACAGCTCAATGGATAATCACAAAAATAATACAGAAGTTTGAGAAGATAGAAATCACTGGTTGCTGCAGTCATCTGGACCATAAAAAAGTGGAGGGCCAGGGGAGGGAGGGAGCAATAGGGGGGATCATTTTATGAACTATACAGCTGTCTAACCAATGTACTGTATACTTGAAACTAATTTTAAATAAATAAATTTATAAAAATTTTTTTTAAAAAAGGCGAGATCAGGGTTTGTTTAAATGAAGAATAGCTAAGAAGATACAATGGGGTGGGAGAATTAAATTTAAAAATAGTGAGAGCAAAGAAGTGCAATACCAGGTTACCTAATTGTGAATGCACAGGTTTGACTACTACAGAGGGCTCAGAAAGACATGTAATTTGAGATAAACTGTAAAAGATATGGAAAACGTTGTATGTCAGACAAATGGATAGTAATTTGATTTGGAACGGGAGAAACACTGAAGAATTTTGGCAAAAAGAGGGTGGGGGCACAGTCATCAGATTCCAGGCCTTTAATAGTAATACTTATGAGGATGGTATTCAGTACTAGAAGGTAAAATGCTTACCAAACATTCACAAATAAAGGTTAATCAACAGTGATTTTACTGAATTAATATTTTCTATGAAAACATCCCAATAACTTCCAAATCAGTTTTGTTTCTGTAACATGCATTTCTAATACCTGCTCGGCAATATAAAAAGTTTTGCTGTTCGTTCTGGGATGAATCCACAAACAACGGAAACTCTCACCAAGTATAGGATTATAAGGTTTCTTCAGTCCCTAGAAAAAACATACAAGTTTCAAATTACAAATAGGTAAAACTCAAAATAGTTTAAACCAGTCATGATGGCTTTAGCTGTATCATCTGGGAGATTATCCTTATAAAATTTCACAGCAGTGACATGAAATAAAGTTAAAATGATGTCAATCATAATATAGATCTAAATGATCAAGTACTGAGAACTGCAATGTAATTATTAATAGACAGTCTAAATATAACATAAAAAATGAAGAACTCATATAAGGCTAAAGAAAGTAAAATACAAGTATTACCTTTGGCTTTTTATAGAATCCTGACAAATACCACTTCACTACTTTCTTCAAACGAAAGTAAGGGTTTTCTTCAAGAGCAGCCCTAAAAAACAAAAAGGTCAATAAAAAATTTATAGAATATATCACAAATTCTCCTTCATATTTATCAAGTCAACAATTGAGATATGATTGGAAAGCATAATTCATATTTAAAATAGATGGCAAAAGCAACTGTGTACAATAGTTTATAAGAATTATTTTTCAAAATCAAGTAGTTACTTTTCTCCCCATTTTTCCTATTTTTTGATGTACTGCCCAGGTCTTTTTTTGCTCAAGTATTTTTTGGAAACTTTCTAAACCAAGATTTTTCAACTGGGATTCTGTAGGAACCGAGATGTTGCTAGGGGTTTTGTGGGAAATTGTGAGTAAAAAAATGAACAGAGATTTCTGAGATTCAGGCACTGTTTGATGCCTAGCATCCGCAGTAAAGGGACAGTCAGTGGCCAAGCTGCCTCATTAACAACTTCATTAGAGTTCTTCAGCCCCATATGTCAGAGAAGGACCATGTTCACTTGATTCAGTCTATTCTCAGTTGTTGATGTTAATTAGAGGAAATCAGCCGTAACTGGTGAGTGCTATAGCACACGGAGGGAGGACAAGAGAATCATGTTAGCCTCTCCTGCACAAATTGCCTAAGTATAAGACTATATGCCTTTTTAATCCTTTGTACAAAACAGAAGTTTCAAATCACAAATATGAAAGATTTAAAATAATTTAAACCAATCAAAAACGTTTTAACCCATTTTTAGCCTTTAACCTCCTCTATGTGCTACCAACTGATTTTCCTGAGTGAACAAGCTCTACAAGTATAATAGGTAATCAAAGAGTAATGTTAATTTTAAAGAAGAAATTTTTAGAAGCCATGACTCAGCTGCCTCCTTGCCCTTTTGTCACTGAAATACACATTGCAAAACACTGACCATCTACATCTAAGTGAATTCTCAATAGAATTCTCAATAGAATTCACTTAGCTTATTTATTATTTACTTATTTTATAATTTAACTATTTATTACATTCTTCAAGTATGCCTGATGGTCTAATGTGGTGAATTTTGAAGATGAAAGATTACTGAAGATGAAAAATTTTGAAGATGGAAGAAGCAGGGCCTAGGCTTACTGACAAATTTTGCCAAGTTATAAGGTTGCACTTTGACCCTCTGATTGTTCCGCTCTTGTTTTAAATTCTCTATGATATTTTATTTTAAATTTTATATATAAATAAAACATAGTTTAAAACTCAAAGCAATACAAAAATGTATACATGCCTTGCTATTGCCCTATCTCAATGCTCTTCCTACTTATATCCTATAGGCAACTTTTTAACTTCCTTTTTTTGTTGTTTTTTTAAGCATAAAGAAAATTTATGTAGTCTTTCTTAAAAAAAGGTAGCAAACTTCACATTCTTCTGTACCTTACCTTTCACACACACATACACACACACTCTCTCTTTCTCTCTCTCCCTCTCTTTTTCTCTCTACCCACCTCCCTCTCTCCCTCTCCCCCCTCTGATGATCCCTCCATATCAATTTATAGAGTTACTCCTTATGTATGGATGCACCATACATTATTTAACCAGTCATCTGTGGCTGGACACTTGAGTTATATAATTTTATGTGATTGCAAACCCTTCTGCAACAATCTTGTATATATGTCATTTTACATATCTGGAGTTATATCTATAGGAATTATTTCCAGAAGCAGGATTACTGGATCAAAGGACTGAATGAATCTATAATCCTAGTAAATATTGTCAGAGTCCCTTAGAAAGCACTGTGCTAGTTTGTATCGCCCAGCAGCAGCAGTGCATGAGTACCTGTTGCACACAGCCTTGGCAATAAAATAGTGTGTGTTGCAGGAAAAGTGTAACCTTTCATTTTGGGAAAATAGGCATTTATTCCTCAAGAAGACCTTACTGTGATTCATAGAAACCTGCCTCACACTCTGAGAGAATTAAATTTCTAGACAATAAAAAAAAAAAGAGAACTATAACAAAATATAAGGCAGAACTGGGGTATAAAAGCTTTTGGACATTTGGTCAATGTGGTGGATGAAAATCAGTATCTTATTACAGTTTCAATCTACATTTTTCTTATTTTGTGTGAGGTTGACATGTTTAAGGTCTGTTTCTATTTCTACATTTTTAAATTGGTCGTGTTCTCTACTCCTTTTTCTATTAGGTTGTTGATCATTTTCGTTCACTTTCGAGAGAAACACTTTGTGTATGATTTATTTTGCAAAAATCTCCCACAGTTTATCAGTAATTTTTTGATTCAGCTTATGATTTTTTTCCAATGTTCATTAATGCAACTAATAGACTAATAATGCAACTAATAAACTGAATACAGATATTTATGCAGAATCTAAAAACCAGGTCAAATGGCCAGAACTTAGTATCTTAAAAAACACAGTGCCTTGAAACATGACTGCTGCTGGAATGGAGGCAGCAGGTGAAACCTGGAAAGGTCTGCACGAAGTGGCTGTCTTTTATGGTTATCTAAACAACTGCTGGGAGACAGGTGGACAGTTCCTCCTCTGCCTCCTTTATGCCTGCCTTCTTCAGAATTACACCCAGGATCGGCTGGTAGAGAGAAAAGCAAAGATGAAAGTAGATGCCAAGAGCTAGCAAATGGCAGGGCATTCTGGTTCTGGTAAGCTGCGTATGCCTCACAAGCATACAGAGAGGATAAGTATGAATAAAAGCCCAAGCCCCAGGACGGGACCTGAACAAAGGCTGAAGCGGGGAGAACAAAGAATGCCAACCACCTTTCCCTATGTCAGGCCAGTGGTCAGGGAGCCTGTGATAGAGCGCTATTGGGTGAGGGGTAAAATTCTTGTTCTCCTTAGGCTTGTGATCTCTTAATTCAACATCATAAATGAAAACATTATACCAAAGTATTAAATATGCTTCTTATGAAGGTCAACTACAGAAGTGTTGGAGAAGAGAGACTGATATCCCATTAGAGCCCAATTTTGGTAAGGCATAACCATGGAATAGCACTCTGGAAAAAATCTCTGAAACCATGAAGTACCTTCTATTTTAAGAAATGAGAACCTACTTACTCAGATAGGAAATCTGCATGATAGTAGTAATCTGAAAGTTTATCCAGGAAAGAACGAGGTTCCAAGATAAATGTGGGCAGAACCACCCTGGACAAGTCCATGCCAGGGCGTACTTGTTTCAGCAGTGTCCAGATAAGGCTTTTGTTTTCTTCAGACACAGTTTCTGTTTGAGAAGCCTCACCTGCCTTTAGCAATTAACAAAAAATTCTGAAATATTATATTTATCTCAGACATACAGATGTGTAGAAAAGACAGCTAATGTTTAAAACCTGATTTCTCTATTTGACTATTTCAAGCATTCTTAAAATGTGGAAATAACCCATTAATAAATAAAATCCATAGCTAAAATTTAGGTAAAAAGGGTATTTGCAAGAGACATCAAAGTGAATGATACATACAAAGAATTCATTACAAAAAATGTTATACTCCATTATACTATCTTTACTTCTATATACTAGCAATAACAAGAAAGTTATAAACTCATGTTTCCTTGAAATTTATTTTGTACTTGGCAATGACATCAACCAGTATGCTATGTTAAAAGTGAACCTGAAAAAGATGTGAACTTTACATAGAATATATTCATATTTGTAGGAGTACTATGTTTTTAGCTGTTTATCAATCCTGATATATTTCATATGCATGCAACTTTTAAAATAGGTATCACAGAAATATTCTCTTTTAGCAAAATAAGTCATATGTCAAACAAACGATATATTCAATTTCATTAAAAAATTCCCAAGAATTAGAAAACCAAAACTCTCTGAAAATCCGACTTTTACCTCTCCAAGTTCCTCATGGCTCTGTTCAGTGTAGGTGGTCTCCTTTAAAGGTTCAACAGGCTCAGGTTCAATATATGAGTCATCTTGCCTTTCTGATGTATCTGTGTCACTTTCTTCACTTTTCCCCATCACCTCATTGTCAGACTCATCATGCTCTTGATCATTTTCTTTATCAGATTTATCAGAATACATATCTTGGTCTTTAAAATGCTGTCGTTCAATTTCACTGTCATTTAATCTTAAGAAAAAAAATTATTAGAAGGAAGAATAAAGAAGGTTAAGAATATTTAATCTATAAATAAGAATATTTAACATTTATTGAGAATTTACTATGCGCTTGGCACTGTTCTTAATGTTTTATATAGTTTAACTCATTTAATCTTCAAAATAACCCTATAAAATAGGTAATCATTCTCTTTACACATTAGTAAAATGGCACAAAGAAATTACATAAAAATCTGAGGCAATGTTAAAAGATGACACTTTGAGCTCTTTGCCTATGTCTTGGGGCTAAAATCTTCCAAAAGCAAAATTTTAGACCATCCTCTTGCTATTTTCTTAGTTTTGTAATCATCGTCATTTGAATCAACCTCACTGTCACTTCTAGTCTGAAGAAAAACTTCAACTCAAGATCATTAGATTCTCAAGTGAACTCAAATTATGACTTTCTACCTGTAAAGGTCTCCAAAGTCACTCAAAAATAATAAGTCTAAGACTAAGACAAGAAAACACAAAAGGTAAGTAATTATATCTATTTAATTAATATTATAAATATATCGATTAAATTAATATTTAATCTTGAGGAGAAAAATCCAGAGAGAACTGGAAATGTACATTTCAGCTTAAGGAAATGAACCAATAGCCTAAAATTGATAAATTGCTCTAGCCAACCCTGTTTTTACTAACCCTAAAGTGATTAGGGTTAATAATATGTACAAAAACGAAGGATTTTTTTAAAACCTCACTTTCAGAATCACATTTTTTTAAAGAAATTTCTTATTTAGGAAAGTATCTGTTGGTCTCATTTGGTATAAATATCTTACAGGGATAAGCACTAAAGTACTTTAAAAATAAATACATAGTGCCATTATATATAACTGATATTTTAACAATGCTGAGATAGTAACAGAGCAAAAGTCCTATTTGATTCCTATGTTAGTCTCTATTTTTCCAAAATCTTCATTTGTTTGGATTTTAACCAGAGAATTTCTAATAGAAATTCATTTTTATATACGTATTAGTTTCCTTCTTTCCCTTTACAATAATGTTTTTAAAAAGTAGTCTAAAATTGCTGTCTCTGCTTTCTTACCATCTAGTCACTCCTTAACTTTTCATAATCTGGTTTTCACTCTCCTAAATCCGTGAAACTGTTCCCTTAAAGGTCACTAATGATGGCTCAGTTGACAAATCCAATAGCCTTGTCTAACCTTTGCCTCTTTTGATTTCTCTGCATTCCTGAATTTTGATGATGATTATTTTCCTTAAAATGGTGTTAGTGCTTTGGGTCTCTGCAATCACGGTTCTACTTTTTAAGTTCTCTGATCTCTTTTACTTCCTTCTATCCTTAGATATTCTCATCTTCCTTGGCCCTTTTTAATTTTTCTATATCCTTCTCCTCTGGCAAGCTACCCAATTTCAAGGCGTTGTTGTCATTTGTATTTGACGTGGTCCCATGTAAGCAGGAACGAGCTTTAGACTCATGCTTTTAAATGGTTGGCTGCCGTCACCTTTATGTCCTGGGACCAAAGCATCCTCAACATGTACAATAAATTATTATCTTCCAAACATGGTCCTTTGTTTTATTTTACCATCATCTTCCCAGTCATTCATGCTTAATGCTTGGTAATTATCTTTAACTTCTTTAACTTCACGTAGCTCTCATCCCTTATATCCAAGCAGACTATAAGTCTTGAAACTGGGCTCCCTCCTCCCATCTCTGCACCATCAGCTTCCTGATCATTTTCTGTCATATAGCCAAATAAATATGTTGATATGTTGATTCTACTTTTGTAAAAAATTTGTTATATTGATTCTCTCCCTGATTCCCTAGGTGGATGTTATGTTTTCAGCCTCTAAATTTTCCTGATCTTATGTTGCCTTAAGGTATCTCTCCTTTGGTTGTTTATGTTATTCTTTTTATCTCGCTATTTATAGTTGCCTGGCATTTTATAGGTTTCAAACAAAACAAACAAAACAAAACACTTCTCTAGGATCATAAAACTCTGGATTCAAATTTAGAATCATATCTGATTCATCTCCCTATTCACAATGTGGATTATACAGGAAAATGTGAGCTATCTTATACATAAAACAGGCTCAAAAATTTTAATGAATAAATGTGAAACGGAGGAATTTTTAACATCCACAAATTAAAAGCATTTACAGATAACCTGATATTCAATAAAAACAACTAATGATTTACAGCTGAAGAGCTTCGAGGGAAAAATCTCATGAAGAGATCCCAAAAAACACCCATTTCTATATGAGTTGTGCTCCCCTCCTCCTGTAATTCTTATCCCATTCAGGGTTCGTACTTGGGATTAAAATAAAACTCCAGATTATAGGTATGCAAAGAAAGAATGTAAAAGGTTAGGTAACGGAAATTTTTAAAGAGAGCGAAGAAGAAAGCTCAAGCAAAAGGATAAGAAAAAAAATGTTCAGCTCAGGTTTCATGGAAAAGTGAAGAGTAGCAGTCTAACTTTGAGGAGAGTAACCCGAATGCTGACAGGAAAAAGTGGCTGTAGAGAAGCTGGGTGTTGGGGCAAGGGAGGAAAATGGGAAATCTAATGTCTTTCCTACAAAGCACCAAAAGAGAGCTGAACCTCAACAAACCTCTGAAACTCAAATAAAGTACTTCTTAATTTTTTTTTTCCGGTATTAACTACAATAAATGTTTCAAGGGCTAAAACCACACATAAGATACAGTTCCAACTTGAAACATTTATAATATAATAGAAGAATTCCACAAATACCAGGTAGAATAAGTGTCTTTTACAATAACAAAAAGTTTTACAATAACAAAAAGTGCTATAGAAAAGCAACAGAAGGGCAGATTACGTTTCATGGTTATGAAGCAGGAAAGTCTTCACATATGAAATAATATTTGAGATTTGTCTTAAAGAATACGTAGGATTGTGACAGGAGAAAAGAGCAAAAAGGACCAGAAATCATTCTTAATGAAGGGAACACCATGCACAAGGACAAAGCAAACAGTATGATCATATTTGGGAAATAACAAGTAATTCACATTAGCTAGAATCAAGGAAATAACTTTCTATACCTTAATATAGTAACTAAACAATCTTAAACCAGGCCTTAGGCCATATAATGAGAAGAAGATAGCCAAGTTTCAATCCTAGATATACTACAAGAATTCTAGGCCTGCCATCTAACCCAGTGAACAATATGGGCTCTAACATAATCACCAAATCAGTGGCAATATCTACTTACTGGAAGTTGTCACCACTGTGGAGATTGTTAGCACGTAATAAGCCATACAAAGTCACATGTGTACTCTCTGATGAAATGCTCAAGTCATGTTCCTTTCCTTCCCTGATCATCGTACGTTTAAGAAGACTAGAACATTTCAAAGCCAATTCCAAAGCATCCATCCAGCACCTCCCTAGAAGAACACAGATTCATAAGCAGTGTGAGTCAAGAAACTATAAAAACTAGTACACATCTTAAAATAACAGTTAGCCTTTAACCATACTACTATTTCTTTGAAAAATATTAACTGGAAAAGTTAATTTGAACGTAAAATCTTGTAAGGATTTTTTTTAATTCAAATTTTTTAGTTTAACAAGTACTTTTTACATACTAAGCATCTAGAAACCACTGGTAAATGAATAGAACATAACACACGTTAGAAAGTCACCTAATTACAAAAAGTGTACTTTTAAAAATCTTAGAACACTAGCATGTAGTATAATTTGAAAGTACCAAAAAAAGTACTGAAAGGGTTATGTTTCTACAAAACAAACTGTACGAAATAATGTTTCACTGTTGACAGTAGGTCTACCCCTAGGTTTAGCATCCATTCTACTTATATGTATGAAAATTTGTAAGTCAGGGAAATGCCTGCACAATACCATCATTAACTGCCATATTAGTAGAAACACTAATTACTTTATTTTTTAAATTAAAATTTAAAACTGTAATTAGCAGGAAAAAAGAATGTTCGTTGCTCTTAAAATTCATATATAGTTGTTTCAAAATCTGCTGGAAATATCAGCCAAGTAAAACACTTTTATAATGAAAGCTTGTGCCTATGATATTTTAATTTTAAAAATAATCATCTGGTAAATGTAAACTTTGGAAGGTTATAAGATTCTTTAAGCTAAGCTAGTCTAAACTATAAAACAAAAATGAGGAAGAAATTCACTATTAATTATTAAAGTTTTAAAGTTATCTTGCTTTCATACAAGTAAGTGTTGTTCTCCCTATATTTGCTTCAAGAATTAAATATTAAGTTATTAAGTGCAGAACAAAAGTTTGTTTCACATAGAAAAACTCAAAACAGTTTATGTGTCTTATAAATGTTAATATTTAATAAAATATAAATAGTATTAAGCACACCTTTAAAATAATAAAACTTAATGAGTTACCACAGAGAACACTAACCAAGTCAAATAGGTGTTAACATTTCAATGGAGAATGAAGAAAACTCCAGGCTGCTAACTCATCACTCAATTCTTTTCTATCAGATTTCTATTTGTCTACCAGGTTAATGACATACTTGGTGTTCTAAGAAACTTATGATTACACTACCTCTACTGCAAATATCACACTAAAGACAGATTTTCCCAAAGAAAAATACACAGTAGTATATAAAATAAATCTTTAAAAATGAGGACTAAAATCCAATCCATTAAAATTTTTATTTACCATCTGATTCTGAAGTAGCTCGGATGATCAAATAACTGCTAGGTAAGGGCTGAGTTATGGATCCAACTGCTTCACCTTTTGGACCCTTAATATAAACAAATAAAATAAAAATAAGCAAAATAAACAGCATACGGTATTATGAGATCTCAACTTTATATATAACTTTATATTGTTATATTATTGGTAACAATCTAAGTTAGGCATGGATTATAATTTGAAAAGAAAGAAGTTTTAATTTCATGCTTCTTGACAAAGCAAATGTTACAATTTATAGTTTATAGTTATAATTTATAAGAAAAAAAAATTTGACTGAGTCTAGGGAAAAAAAATCAATCTCCATTTTATAACCAATGATATATTTGTTTATAAATACCAAGTATAAAAGCTAATTTTATTTTTCCAGAAACAAGAAAGAAAAAGGATTTTTTGTTGTTGTTGGTTGGGGTTATTTGTTTTTAGAAATATACGACACCAAGACATCTATAGTAATTAGTAGCACCAAAGCTTATCTTTGGTGGACTATTTTTATCTGGAAAGAAAATCTGAGGACTGAAATTATAGTATAATTTTGATAGAAAAACCATAATTTTTAAGTTGTCAGATCAAAAAATAAAATGGGTTTTAAGAGGCATAAATATTAGAAAGTAAAGATGCAGATTCAAATTTAAAAAAAGAAAAGAACAATATGATTTTATCAAATCCTATAATATCCCTTGGGTATTTTCCAATAGCTTTATAATTTATGGGCAACTCCTAAAACCAGCATAGAGTACGATCTAGAGTCAGATTGCCTAGGTTTCAACCTTGGCTGCATGCCAGAAAAATTATTTAAGTAACATTTTTAGGCCTCAATCTCTTTGTCTGGTTAATAAGGGAAAATTGCATCCTCCTTTGCATGGAATGAAAAATTCCATGCAAAAACTCAAGAGTCTCTGACACAAAATAAGAACTCATAAATATTATTTTTTCCTAATCCTAGGCATTGACTTTGAAGTTATTTAAATAATGTCCTAAGAAGGTTTTGCTTGTGGAGAATATTCTGATGTTCATATAACTATACAGATTTCCCTTCCCTAAATATTTGGAATAAATTTGACATTAAAAATATTTTTAATGATTTGAAAATTCATTCTTATAATTCCTAAGAGTAGTAGTAAAGAATAAATATTATAGATGAAAGGTTTTGAAAGTAACTTTCTATTCACTTGAGAATTGCATGATATATAAATACCACAGGTTCTCTGGGTTAAATCCTTTCCCCTGTGGGAAGTATCTAATTCCAGAATCGAAAAAACTGTGTAATCCTAAATTTATTTGTTGTATGACTCCAAGCTACTGAAATAATGATAAAAAGTCCGGGTCTTTTTTAGGTGTATGTATATTGATTAATTAAGCAATATCGAATAAATTTTAAAGCTGAAGCTACTTTTGGTTAGCCCTAATCTCAATTAGGTGGTTTTCCTTGAAAGAGGAGTTCTAAACCCTTTATTCAAGTATAATTGACCTTCTTACAAATTAAAACAATGAACACTTTGTAAAAACTTAAAATAGACTCATTTATTCGGTTAGCATGTACACTGTTTGTAGAACTCCTTGGTAGTTAATCAAAAAAGGCATTTCTATTTTCCTGGTTAAGTTTCTAGTTTTACAATACAGGAGTGACCACAGTAATGTTTTTAAGTTATAAACCATTAGAGCTCCATCTTTTAAGAAAACTGCCTCTTAAGAGTAAGTAGGACTGAGTCTGTTTACAGTCTATTTACATATTTACATCAGTACAGGAAACGCCACAAAAATAAATGGCAGCTTCTATTTTAGGGGATCTTACAATTTTGATAAAGAGAAAAATATGGTAAACATGATACAATATCACAAAGCAAAATTGGTCATCGCAAAAATTTTTAAAAAGTACAAACTGAATTCCCATGGCAAAAAGATACATAGGGTACAATATTAAAGAAACCATTTTCTGAAGAAATTTTTAAGTTAGATCTTAAAGGTAAACATGGATTTTTGGTGCACATTTCATTGTGGGTAAAGACAGAAAGAGGATAATGTACTTGAAAACAGAAACAAATTTATAAGTCCTACCAGAGAACAGTGATCATCAGTTTAATTGATTTATTTCAGTTCTACTCAGAGATTGTCATTTTACCTTTTACCTATACAACAAGTGCTTACTTACCTTCACTGCCCAAATAGACTGCTCCAAAGGATGAAAAAGTTTAAAACAAAAGCCATCTTTTTTTGATGGACGCTCAATGATTTCACAGGCATTCAGAAGAACTGTTCCTACCCATTGACCATTTTTTTGGGTTTTATAGATCAGTAGCACCCCGGGTTTCAACACACACCACAGCTTGGTCCAGCTCTTTAGAGTACCACGAATCTACAGGAAGATAAGTTTAAGAAATAAAACTGTTTTTCTCCTCCTGCTCCACAAGATGCAAACTGAATAATGGCAAAGAGGATGTTTTAATCTACAATTCTCAGAAAATGTACATGTTACACTGAATAGATTTTTTTACTTTTAAGCTACGAAATGACAAGTACTGTTAATAAACATAAAAACAGCATGACTCCTTGCTTCTGAAGAACTTAAATTCTAGGAGACTGGGTCCACAGTTTTAAAAAACTGTACTAAGCAGAATGGTTTTTCTAACCTTCTGGGCCAGGTCAGGAGCTATTAAAATATGCTTTCCTAGTACCGAGATTCTTCTCCTCTTAGCATCTATCACGGCTATGATTTTATTTGTGTGAGTGTAAGATTACTCTATGTTTTAAGATTTCCCCCCTCACCGTTACATCAAGAGTGCTGAAAACACTGCTAGCACACACTAGCCATTCCCTAAATATTTGGTGAGTGGTAGAAAGAGAGAAGAACCTCCTTCTAATCCCTAAAATTATCTTCTCTAAATTACTTTATTCCTAGTAATTACATAAAGTATGCCATATAAATTTCTTGGGGAAATTTTAACACTCAAGTTACATAAATCTCTCTAGTCTCATAAACTGTTGTTCATCCTAAGGTTTAATTCTATGTCAAAAATAAGTCTATAACTAGTTTTTCCTATTCTATTTTGTATGTGATCCATTAAAAGTGTTTCTATGCAAGTCATTGAATTCACAATACAAAAAGGATGCTAATACTGAAATTAATAACTAGGAATTATCCTCATTTTTATTTACTCTTCTCTCAATGCACTTACATGAATTATAAAATAACATTGGGGATCCCTAGCCCCTCAAATAGGCATGCCATAGTAACTAAACAAGAAAACTTTAGAAAGGGGGAATTTGGAGCTAGACATGAAGAAAAGAGAAAACCTTTAAGAAAAAGTATGTGTGAAAGAGATGGAAAGAAGGGAGTTATCCTGAGAAAACATTCTGGATCTTGAAGATGTGAAAGTAGAACATGAGTGGCAAATTATCAGAATGCAGGTAAGATTTAGAAAGTTAGCCTGGTGATGCGTTGGGGACTTTTGGGGAGTTGGTTGAGAAAATCCAACGTCAAAAGACAAAAGTAGGTGTAGCCCTTCAAAACCCAGGTGAGATCTGGCGCTTAAAGACTTCTAAGTAGAGCTAAAATTACTCAGAAGCTGTTTTCAGCACGACACCGAAGAAGACCCTAGCATTACTTGAACTACTAGGGAAACGATCACTAGCCTCCCACATTAGTAAGAGAACTGCCATGACAGATCCCATAAAGATGTTAGGTTGGAGGTTGTACCAACTCTTTGGGAAACTGGAAAGTTTTCAAGGTTGGGGTGATTTTTAGATCAATGCCAGGTACTAAAACTTCCTGGAGGTCACAATCTTACAAAATCATTCTTAAAGTTAGCATCAGTCTGAAAGATTACTACCCAGATAAGAATGAGAAAGAGGATAGCGTGACTGGGATGATAGAATAGGAAATAAAAATACATGGAAATAAACAGAGGCTAAAAGAATAAGGTATGAAAACAGCAATGTGTATGTTTCTCTGAAAATTAATCCTTTTCAAATGCTAACCTGTATTAACTTTGTCTCATCTCTTCCCAATAATGCACATACCAAGTCTACAATAATAATAATTTGAATAGCAAGCAAAATATTTCTTTACAGCATATTGATTCAGACTAGGGAACGTCACATAAATCAAAAAGCCTTTAAAAAAACTGCTATACATATTTGATGTTGTTGTCAAGAAAGACAACATTAAGACTCCTTCTCCCCATTAAGACTGGAATACAGAACGTCTGGGATACAATTAATAGTTTGTCAGTGAAAAACAATCATCCTACTAGTTGTTTTCATCTTGTAGGCTTTAGTGCAATCTGAGCTTTTCTATTCCAGTAGGCAAACATCCAGCAATGTGAATTCAAGATTCAAAACGAACTGACCTTCAACCAATCAGCCATGACAATAACAGAAGGGTCTGTGATGGTGCTGAGCAGCTCCTTTGTGGCTCTTTTCTTCTCCTCTCGGTAATTTTTCTTTTGTACCTATTTTACAGAAATAATAGAAAAATTTAAAAAATATTAAAATGGGCAATTTCTTTTCAATATTTTTTTAGGTCTATAGAATGTAGAGTATAAAATTCTAAACCTCTTTTAGAATTCTAGCGTCTTAGGATAAAATAACTATGTTTTCCTTTTAGAGCTGGTAGAAATTTTTAGAGAAGGGTAGAATCTAGTTTTTGTGATCACTAGTCCAGTTCTCTGTATCTTTTTAAAGAATTCTACCTTTTTAAAATTACACAATATATGAATGCAGTCTCATGGTAAAAATTTCAAACACCACAAATAAAGCTAAAGGCCATCTTCATTATACCCTGTCCTACTGCAATTCCCAGAACTGACTACTGTTTACTTTCTTGAAAACACTACCCTTTTAGGCCTTTTCTATGTATATAATCTATAGAAGTATATAGCTTTTGTGTTAGTTTTAGATTTTTTAAACACATTAAAAAATATTCTCCCATTCAATATTTCTGGAGAATTTCCATGCCTATCTCATTCTTTAAATTGATACACAAAATTACTAGTATGAATAAGAGCTCTAACATTTATTGAATACATTCTGTGTGGCATTCATAGTTCTAAGCACTTTACATGTATCATCTTATTTAATCTTCACAATAACCTTGAGAAGTAGGACTATTAGTATCCTTATTTACAGATGAGAAAACTGAAGCACAGAGAATAACTTGTCCAGGATTATACAGCTAGTAAGTAATGCAGGTAGGATTCAAACAGAGGCAGACTGGCTCTAAAAGATATGCTCTTAAACACTATGCTATACTGCTTCTGTAATTTTTCTTAATATATTCTCTTACTGGAATATGGAAATCTCCTCTGTTATCAGTTTTTTTCATATTACAAACAATGCTGCAATTGTTTGCGACCCACAATTTTGCTCTTTCCTGATACTAATATGTAAGATATAAATAATTAAGAAACTACAACAATGAAATTAATTCATTCAAAATATCAAAGTTTTACCTCCATAAGTCACTTCTAAGATAATCAGGGAAAGTAGCACTGAATCAATGTAATCTTATTATTGCTTTGTTGTTGTATTGATGAGAGAAGAGTGGTGATAACCTATCAGTGATATATTTTTTTAACTATAACAAAATCTTAGTTGCACTGAATGGTGACTACAGACAAGTAACAAAATTTTAATAATCTATAGCCAAAAAACTTTACTTTTAGTCTTTATTATGCATAATAAATTCACTGAATTAACAGTAGATTTGATATGAGATTACAAATGCATACAAGATCAAATGGGAAAGTGGGGGTAAGAGAGACTCCACAGGGATCACAGAGAATACACAGCCTAATAAGCATGTATTTCTCAGGCTCCAGGATCTGTAGCTAATCTGGAAGGCAGGCCCAATACTGTATATTTCTTAAAACAAGCTGGAAATCTAGACTTGTAATTGTTGGCTCAAATTTTAAAAAACATTATATAGGTCAAACGAAATACAGCAGGTCCTCTAATAATGTCACTTTGTTCAACATCGTTTCATTGTAATGTTGATGAGATGCTGTAGGAACTCTTGTATATATCAATTAGCCTAGGGTAAAACTGTTTTCCTTATATGCAGTTCCAAGAACCTACTGATGATGTTAAGTGAGGACTTGCTGTATATCTGCCCAGAGAACAAATTCACCCACGACCTAGCAGTAAACTAGAATATCAGGTATTCCACAACACAGTGATGTGCCTGACTGGAGTACAATTCTGCAGAGATACCTAGTCCTCAGCCCAAGGAGCTCTGGGATAGTCATTAAGTAGCCTTTTCAGTTGGCTCCAGAATACCATACAAATATTAAGATTTTTTATTGTGCCTGTCTGGCTATTTTTTTTCCTTCTTTTTAGGAAGAAAATAAAATAAAGATATTTATTTCTTTATTCGCCTACTTTCAAAAGCACACTCAAAGCATAATGTTATTTATAAAATGACTACGGGAACTAACCTTGAGAGATTCTTTTTTGGTGAGCTTGCTTGAAGCTGAACTATCCTTCTCCGAGCCATTATAAAGTTTAGATTCAGACTGAAATCACATAGAAATGAACAAAAAGAAATAATAATTAAAACATTCAGTTATCCAATACATATGGAATATAAAAAATAATGTTAATGCTATACTTCCCATTTAATGCTGTGGTTTAGCAAAATGTTGATTTTCAAATACCAATTTTCTATGTAGTATAGTATTTGTGTCTAAAAGCCAATCCACGTTAAACCCACAAAACCACAGAAATAAAAGCTAATGATTAAATTAATCTACAATGTGAGGTAAAATAAGACCATTTGGAAATTTTTGCATTCTGTTTTCCAGAGTATTTCTAAGAAACATACAATTACTTATTCTTCGAACAAAAGTATCCAAAGCAATATAATTTTTTAACAATTGAAATATTCTGGAAAAAAAAACAAAAAAAACGAAACCCAAACCATGTGCATTCTAGCAGGCTGCTGCACACACTGCCTTGTTTACTGCTACTCCTCGAATGGCAAGAAATATAAACGTATTCAGAAACTAGTACTAAAACACCATATCTAATTTGTGTGGAGTTTAAAAACCAATATTCCTAGCATCTACATTTTACCTATCCAGTCAGTGCCCTTAAATTATTATTAAGGTTTTAAACTTGTTTCCAGACTGTTTGTACTTAATATTTTCATTTGATCTTCATAAGAACCTTGAAAAGTATGCATAACAAGTAGTTTTATCTCCATTTTACAAATCGTGAAAGAGAAGCTAGAGAAGCTGATTTTCTAATCTAACAATCAATAACATAGCAAGGACCAGAACCTGGGTCTCTCAATCTAGCACTCTTTTAAGGAGACTACATTCTTTCACCAGAGTGGAAGCATAAAACTAAAAGCTGTTTCTACAAATCCTAAAACAATAAACTTAAACATGCTCCTTCAACGTCCTATGATTTTCCTTGTTACCTACTGTTAGACACAAAAGAAGGCAAAGTTCTTAGTATTACTGGTAGTGTCAAGAAAGTATGTGGGGCTTGATCCATATGGTGACTTTCAAATGATGAATGGCCAGATCTATATAATATTATTACATGTGATCAAGGATAAAAAAAAACTCTGGGTATAAACTCTTTCACTCAGTTTTAAGATTCATGAGTGCAGGGGCCCTGCTCATTTACCAATGATACCCAGTTATCACCTGGAGAAAAGAAAGGGCTCAATAAATATCTGATGAATTAATAAAATGAAAATAAAACTAGCATTTACACCTCATTTTTCTCATCTCTCTTAATAATGCCCCTGCTACTTGGTAAAAAATATGGGTTATCACGGTGATAGTAATAACTGGCTATAATAGAAGCAAATGGCAAATTGTGCTCAATGCAAAAGGTAGGAATTAACTTAATTAAAAATTTTTAAAGTTACTCCTTTGAGAACTGGACTTGAAGCATTACATTGCTTACTTTTATGACACTGGTAAATATTGTGATACCAAAATAATTTCACGAAATTTCTCAAGCCAGATTTCTCAAACCAATTTCTCTTCCTCTTGCCCGTGGGAACCCAATGATGTCATAGCTACTGTCATAAGAATATGACAGTTTCTATTTCTCACAGCTTAATAGGAAAATTTGTATTACAATATACTCTTTAAATACTATGCAGTACTTAATATACATCGTGTTTCAGGTTTGTGACTAACCTTTAGAATTAAAGTGCTGTTAAAAACCAGATTTGTAGATAAATGGAACATTAAAATTAACGATATTTTTGACATGCTTTGAAAACTATAAAATACAGCAGATATAAGAAATAACAACAATAACGATAAGATTCCATGAGCATATCATACATTTTGATTTGGAAAGGTTTTTTTAAATACCTGGCAAATATCTTTTTTACAGCAAATGACAGACAACTTAGCAAACCTACAGGCAAGCAGATTGATGGCTGGAAAATCAAGTCAAATCTGGGCTCAGAAACTCCTTATCCCTGTAAAAGGATTCTTTTATCCTATTAGATACATTACTAATGCTGCATTTTCTTTTACTGAGATGGATAATAAAAAATTCATTAAAAATTCTAACAAGAAGATGAGATAGTTTGATTAACTGACTTATCCAATTTACTCATTTACAGGAGATGTGAGAAATAGGAACTGCATTTATTTTTGAAAGGTTGGGAGGGGGGTGGTAAAGAGGGTGCATTCTATTGTGCTTACTGGTCTCAATTATGTATATTAAGAAATAACATTTAACCCCAAATCCTATGACCAAAATGACAGTATTGATACTTTTTACATCAAGTTTTTAAAAGGTTAAAATTATTTGATAGTCTAGCTATGTAGATCAATTATAGAAGGAATATCAAAATTTTGTTTCTCAAAGTTACTTCGGAAAGAATAAAATCTTCAGAATTCCATGAGAATGAGGTTTAATGATAAATGTGTAAATTTTAGGACTGCTCTGAAAAACAATAGAGGGGGTTATATGTTAAAATATTTAAGAGCCAACTAGTAACTAGTCATTTCTTAAGCTAACAGAACAAAACAAGAATAAATCTAAGTTAAGATAAAATCAGTTTCAGCTCTTGGAAAACAGCAAGATGAGTACAATTTTACTTATACCAAATAATAACCACGTTAAGAATCCCACTTCTTCACTATAATTCCTTATTCAAAGGAAGAAAATGAATTCTTAATACTCATTATTAACCAGGTATTGTCAGGCACTTGCAGCCTCACAATGTGGGAGGCAGATCTTATCTCCTGTGTGCAGTTAAAAAAAAACTGAAGCTGCTCTGAATTCTAGCTCTACTACTTTGAACCTTGGAGAGTTAATTTCTCTAAGCTTCAGTTTGTTCAGTTATAAAATGGGGCCAATAATATCTGTCTTCTAGTACTGTTGTGAGAGTTAAAGTGACACAGTACTGTTGTGAGAGTTAAAGTGACACATAGCAAGCCCTTAATACAAAGTAGCTATTAATATCATTGTAATTAGCACCTAAGAAGTCACAAGTAATGTATGAGGGTCAAGATTCAAACACATTTTTTTTTGACTAAAACATTGTTGTCCAGTAGAACTTCTAAATGACAGAAATGTTCTAAGTCTGAGTAGTCCAATGTGATAGCCACTATATGTGGCTACTGAGCACTTGAGATGTGGCTAGTGTAACTGAGTACCTGAATTTCTAATTTTATTTAATCTTAATTCATTTAAATTTAAAAAGTCATGTACAAATAGGTGCTATTGTACTCAAAGCACAGTTCTAAAAACGATGCTTGTTTTTTTCATTAATGCATACTGCTTCACTAAGGCATGTAAACTTTCTTTTCAGGCTCCCCGCTGCACACCCCACTTCCTTTAAAGACTACTTAAAGGTGGCTGAGGTACGTAACTCTGGGGTTTAAGGGTTTGGCTTCAGAGTAAGTAAACCATTACGCCATGCATTCATCAATTCTGGTGTTAACTGCTTGAAAATAGGTTTTTTAAATTCCATAAATTTCATTGTATTTCTAGCCAGAACAGACCCACAATCATTATTTTCTCTTTAATTTTCTTTGATTACATATCTTATATAAAATGATCAAGGCATTTCACATGTACATGTTATGTACATACAAAGTACTATTAAACTTTCATGCTAAGTACTTTTACACATATGCTAGATAGACTTTTATGTAATGAATACTTGAAAAGTGCAAATGAAATTTGTGTGAAATTATACATTAAAACATTTATCATCGAATCGTCTCAACTGCTCCAACAAGAAGAACAAAAAAATTTAGAGTCTTAAAAGCAAAGCCTATTGCTGAGAATAGCAGAGAATTTACTAGCTTAAGAAATGGGTTTCCTTACCAAGTCACTGTTTGATTCCATAAACATAAAAGTTTCTCCTGCTATTAAATCTGACCAGAAGTAACAGTCAAAAGTCAAATACCTTGACAAATTATGGAAATCTAGTGAATTACAAACCCATAGTAAAACCAGTGTATCATACAGTGTTCCTCAAATTTGTTTCTCATATAGGTACTCTAAAAAAATTCTCAACAGACCTAAAAATATGCATTAGTATCTCAGTTTGAGAATTACTAATTTAGGGAAATATGTCTTATTCTAAGAAAATGTCTTTCAATTGCAGGCTATTACTGTGAGAGATCTTTGACCTTTAACTGGTAAAATATATATTTTTTGATTGGGATTCAAATGAACTCAAAACACTTAAGAATTTTTTAAAAGCCATGAACTTTGAAGATTTCTCTGAATGGAACTCAGTACTCCTGTAGCAGCCACACCAGAAACAATATAACTCTATAGAGAGGACACTTGTTACCAATAGGCTATATTTCCAAGTAAACAACAGTGCCTGAATCAGCCCCAGTGGAACTTTCCTTTTTTCATACCACATGGGTTAGATATACGAACATAAAAAAATATCAAAAATCTGATAGAATTTTTACATACCACATGAGTTAGATATACGAACATAAAAACATCTCAAAAATCTGATAGAATTTCGGTCGGTGTTAGTTCCCTTATCTTAAATATTAGAAAAATGTCATAATCATATATTTGAGGACAACAATATGCTTACCTTGCTCTTTGACATAGAAAGCGAAGATTCATCTTTAGTTTGAGAAATGTCTTCTTTTCCTCTTTCAAAACCTTTAAAAACATCGTTAATGTCAGTATTACTATTTTTGAGCACATGTAGGCATTAAAAAGTATATATAAGCATTCAAAAATGAATGCATATGTCATTTGATTTCAAATACACACTATATTTGTTGTATATCGGTACGAGAAATCTAGATTGAACATAATTTTAAATTGTCATAAGTTTAAACACTTCTAAGGGGTTATCTTTAATATAATAATTCTTTAGAATAAGTTAAGACTTACAGAGGCAATGAAGTCTTTCCCTGAACCCCTTTTCTCTACTTCTAGAACACTTTTGCATGAATTCAGGCCGCATGGAGGTTTTACTTCAATGTTTTCTAACAAAGAATCCTAACTGATAGAACCAACCCAGAATACTTTTTACACCTCCTGCCAAACTGGAAAACAATTCCAGAATTGGTGATAAAAAAAGACTAGGGAAATAAATCTGGATTGAGAAAGACTTAAAAAATCTAATAAGGTTCTTCTTGTGAGAATTAAATTAAAATGCATACAAAGCGCCTAGCATAGTATGCTACACCATAGTGTAAATCTAACTAATGTTGACTCTTAATATTATCATTGTCATTGACTATTGCTATATAAATTCTAAAGGAATGAATCTAAAATACATGAGTACAGTGGGATAAACATGTACGCGTCATCGCAATTCTGTAACGTAGTAATATAGTACTGTGCCAAAAGCAGTTAACAAATTAATGTTTTAAGGGTACAATTAGAGAAATGTTAATACTGTGATTTATGTGGCAGGCAGGGACAGCACTCATTTTAATAAAGTTTTTCTACTTTTGAGGGCAATTAATATTAACTCTCCCTTAAAATTATTTGTTTTGAGTATAAAATATATACAAATATTCATAAAGCAGCACTTAAAAAACTACCAGTAGTATCAGTGCTTGAAGCATTAAAAATAATTTCTAGCATATCAATGACACCATTTATTCTGTATTTGGTTTATAGTAGCTAAAAATAAATCATTCCACTTTCCTAATCCAGAAAGTTTATTGAATTTTTTTCTGTAATATAAAATTTTTTTCTTTTTCTTGTCAGGAAAAGAATCACTCAATCCCAATACTAGGGGTTTAAAAAAAACAAAAAAACAAAAAAACTGTTTGATAAATGCAACATGTAATTTTTAAATGAAAACTTACCAGAATTTGAAACTTTAGTGTAAAACAAAGTTACAGAATTCAATATAAAAATCTAAAATAAGATCTGAAACAATAAAATACACAGAAGAAAATATAGGCACCTATAGACATTGGTCTCAAGAGAGGACTTAATAAAGCTTCTGCACAGCAAAAGAAACCATCAACAAAACAAAAAGGCAACTGATCAAATGGAAGGTACAAACAATACCTCCATTAAGCGGTCAATGTCTACAATATATAAAGAACACATATAACTCAACAACAAAAAAACAAATGGTCCAGTTAAGAAGTGGGCAGGTGACCTGAACAGACACTTCTCCCAAAAAGACATTCAAATGGCCAATAGATATATGAAAATATGGTCAACTTCACTAGCTATTAGGGAAATGCAGATCAAAACCACAATGAGATACTACCTCACACCTGTTAGAATGGTTATGATCAATGAGAAATATAATAATATTTAACAAGTGAAGAAAAAGGAACCCTCATGTACTGCTGGTGGAAATGTAAATGGGTATAACCACTATAAAAAACAGTATAGAGGTTTCTCAAAAAATTACCGTATGTTACCATATGACCCAACAACTTCCCTTCTGGGTATCTTCCAGAACAATTTGAAAACATTTATCCGTAAAGATATATATACCCCTAGGTTCACTGCAGCATTATTCACAGTAGCCAAGACATGGCAACAACCAAAGTGCCCTTCAATAGATTACTGGATAAAAAGCATGTGGTACATATATAAAATGGAATACTACTCAGTCATAACAAAAGATGAAATATTGTCATTTTTGACAACATAGATGGATCTTGAGACTATCATGCTAGTGAAAATATCAAATGGAAAAAGTCAAGAACCACGTGATCTCATTCATATATGGGATATAAAATTGAAAGCAACAAACAAAAACTCACAAACATAGACAATAGTATGGTGACTACCAGAGGGTAAGGAGGATAAGGGGAGGGGGTAGGAAAGGATAAAAGGGGTCAAATATATGGTGAAAGGAAGAGATTTTATTTTGGATGGTGAACACGCAATGCAATATACAGGTGATGTGTTATAGAATTGTACAATTCTATAAAAATTATACAGAATTGAAATCTATATAATTTTATTAACCAATGTCACTTCAACAAATTTAATAAAATTACAAAATATAGACTTTAGTACTAAAAAATAATCTAAAATATGTAGTCAGAGTAATAAACGTTTTGTAGTAATTCTCAATACTAATAAACTATAATATAAATTACTTCAAAGATCTTCTAAATATATGTACAAAAGAACAAAGATTTTTCTAAAAGTATATACTGTAAATAAAGTGATACCTTCTTTTTTTCTCACAAAAACACACTTCTACTTCAATTTCTCAAGTTAAGTCTTTGTTTCGGCTGAATCTAAACCAATTTATTAGAGTAAGAAATCCACTTATTAAATTAAGAAAAACACTACTATGTCTACATTCACATATTATTTTAAAAACAGAACAGTAAATTAAAACAAAAGGAGCTGTAAATTTGAGTAGGCTTTTTTTAAACATGCAAATGTCTTGTAGAAAGTTTCAAGTGTTGGAAAAGAACATTCATAAAATTAAATTGTGTATTATCTGTCAAACTCAATAAATGAATCATGTTTTTAAAAGATTCTCTATACCTCAAACTTGCAAATCAAATCATTATTTTCTGGCCCTAATGACTTCGAAATTATTTAAAATTATAGAGGGATAGAGCAAAATGCTTTCTAAGTCTGGTCAAATACTTTTGAATTTCAAATAAGGACAAATAAGTAGATTACCAGCATAAAATGCAAAGAATACAAAAAATGTTCCAAAGCCTTAAAAAGAAAACATTGCCATATTGTATACTAAATTTTCAAGGGTAATTCTAAGGTAAGCAAAGCAAAAAGTGTCACACTAGGGACTCTTTCTTTAGACTGGATAAATGTGGTTTCCGCGAAATAATCTTTATCTTAAAGTCAGTCATGAAAGTACAATTATTAGAAGCCAAAGGGCTCTGCCAAAATATTTCTTAAGCTTTTATTTTCAGTCATGAATGGAGATTCAAAATTACTTTAAAATTACTCCTTTATTTTAAAAATGTGATACTTATAGACAAAATCCTGAAGCCTACAACACATTATTCACCATTAATAATGCAGAATAGTTTCAGACCATGACTTTTCACCAAGTTTGCTTGTTAGTGATTGGTTAGTAAATTCTTTTCCTACTATCCTCCCCACTACCACGATGAGATTCAAACCTACATCCCCATCAAAATGGATAAATTAAAAGGACTAACACCATCCAATTACAAGTGAGAATGTGGAGTAACTGGAACTCTATTTACTACTGGAGGGAGTATAAAGAGGCATAACCACTTTGTAAAACTATTTGATAGTATCTACTAAAGCTGAATGTACGCATATGCAAACACACAGCAATTCTGATTCTAGACATACTCAACAGAAATGACAGATACAAGAAATGTTTATAGCAGCTTTATCCATAATAGCCCAAATGTGCAGCCAATTTTAAAGGCTATCAATGGGAGAATAAATTAACATATTGTAGTATATTTACACAATGAAATGTTACAGAGCAATGGAACATCACCAATTAATACTACACAAATCAACATAGCATTAAGTGAAAGAAGCCACATCTCCCCATCAAAATGAGCACATACTGAATGATTCCATTTATTTAAAATTCAGGAACTAGCAGACCTAATCTATGGTGTAAGAGGTTGGAACAGTGGTTTGCCTTTGTTGAAAGAGGAATTGACATTTCAATATGTCAATTCGAAAACCTGTGCACTTAACTATGTTTAAGTAATGCTTCAATAAAAAGTAAATAAAAATTCAGATATCTTTTTCTATTCTTTCAGTTTATTAGACCTGTCCTGCTTTGATATTCTTTCTCAGTCTATATCCTTTTAATCTATTCTATACCTGGCTAATTCTAATTCATTCATCAACAATGATGATAATTATAGTGATAATTACCAATAACGTTAATGAAAAGAGCAATAAAGCAACCAATTCCATTTGCAGGAACACCTGTCATAAGATACTATGCTAGATGCTTTATTTATTTTCTAATCTTTAAAACAATGCCACAAAAAACCCAAATATTAACTATATTTTATATAATTGAAAAAATTGGGGCTCACAGACATTATGTAACTTGACTAATGTCAATAAATGACAGTATCAGAGCTGATTAAAACTTAGGTCTGATTTTGAAATTCATGTGCTTTCTAGAATGCCAATGTGCCTTTCAAGACCCAAGTCCACATCTTCTGGGAGGCCTTGCTTTGATTTGTAGGCATAGTTAGCCATCCCATTCTCTGAGACACATAGCACTTTATACATATTTGTACTACTTTATCACAATATACTTCAATTATTTGTTTTCATGTAAATGTTCCATACTTGACTGCGAGTTCCTCAAAAGTAGGGTCTAATCCTTATGCATCCTTTCAAATACAAAAATTTGATAAATTGATCTAAAAATAAAAATGGACTCCACTTTTTCTTGTAAGGTTTTTATATATGTGAAACACAGCACATCTTCAGAAAAGTGCATACGACCTAAATGTGTAATTTAATATATACAGTTAACATCTGCATAACCACCACCCAAATCAAGAAATGGGAAATTGTCAATATCCCTTAAGATCCACCCTCCACTCCATCCCTCAGCAGATACAGATAATAAATATAAACTGAGGAAAAAATATATATATATATTGTACTATGCTATCACTATGACTACTTCGGCAGGGGGCACTATTTCTATATTATAGCCCATGATAAAGAAAAAA